AGTTTAATACAAAAGAATGTTAAAGAAAAGAATTTGTAAATGACTACAAACTACTCATGTAAACTTAAAATGTACTACTGGCCTGTGGCTTTTTTAGAACTAAATAAGATTTTGATTGATGAAAATCAGGTGTGCAGCAGCTACACACAAAGCATCGTGAACAAAACATCATTTCAGCATTGGTGCATCTTAAATCTTACCTCTACAAGCTTGGAACAGAAATGCACTGGACCTCTAAGGAGTAATGGGTGTTTTTGCATGTGACATCCACCCATGTCAGATTCCCTATCATACAGATAGGTAACTGGAAGTCGGGTTTTACGTTACAGCCCACAAAACCCGAAGAAGACAAACGCTGTGCAGAAAAGATGGGACACAAGATACTGTCGTGATGGAAAATGTCTGTGTAGACAAAACCTGCTGTACTCACCTTCAGTCAAGGCATGCATAGAATGTAAGTATTCTTGTTTGTTTATTCTTTCTTTCTTTCTTTAACGCCGCACTTAGCAATATTTCAGCTACATGACGAATGTTTGTAAATAATCGAGACTGGACCAGGGGTTGACATCAAGACCCTCGATCCACACACATGGCCCAAATGTAAGAAAGTGTAATGTACTTATAATTCTTCTTACAAGTATTTACACTGACAGTGTGGTATTTATCTCTTTCACCTATACCTGACATAACTCACTTCGCGGAGACAGAAAGAGTATTTCCAGTCGCCTAGAGCATATACATAGCCTTACAGAGCTGAAACCCGTGAAGATGCGTGTTAAAATTGATCTTCAGTAACCCATGCTTTTCGTAAGAGGCGACTAACGGGATCGGGTGGTCAGGCTTGGTTGATACATGTCATCGTATCCCAAATGCGTAGGTCGATGCTCATGTTGTTGATCACAGGATTGTCCGGTCCAGACTCAATGATTTACAGATTGCCGCCATATAGCTGGAATATTGCTCACCCACTCACTCACTCACTCACTCACTCACTCACTGAAATCTTCGTAGCTGTTGCCGACCCTGTAGGGATGCCACGTAAGGATAGGTTTTTGTCGCTTGTGGTACGAGTCAACAAAACGGTTCGGTGAACGTTTGATTATTTAAAGTCAACAAGACCAAGGTAGTACAGTGCTACCCCAACGGGTTTGTTGAACGTACCCTTCAGTGCACGACAGGTATGGTGTTCTAAATAACTCTCGCCGATAATCCTTAATTAATGACAATCATTTGCATCAGCTTTAAGAAATTATATACATCCAGTGGATGACAATATCGCAGTGTAAAGTGTAATCAGCGATACTGTTTTTATATACATACACTTCAAATGAATGTCTTTTAATAACGATTTTTCAAATAATTGAGAAATGTACAAATATATTCAATATCCGTAACTGAAGAGAAAATTAATTGTTCCTATTCGGATGTATGTACATTGAGTTTGCATCAATTGAGACGATGGTATCTGCAGTTTGGTCTCAGTTCAACTGTCAGATGCCGTTCAAGTCAAAACATTGATAACACAACGGTCTCGTTTCCTGCTGACTGGGTTCCGTCCTATTGCGCAACTTAGTACAATAACCAGTCCAGAAGTTTTAGACCAACTCATTCAACTGGGTATAGAAATATTTATCAGTATTATTTGATACATCTAATCACCTGCATGTTGCAAAACTACGCTCCTTCTAATCCTTGCAAACACGTCGTGCAGCGTGCTCTGTCGAACAGCTTGCTCTGACAAACGGAAATCTGGAAATCGCGGAAATCTCAAAACGGGTCTCGGCCGCTAGAAAAGTTTGGCAGTCTGGTACGGACTTGATATTATATCAATCACATTGTACGTTACAAAAATACTCTTAATAAGCGCAAAAAACACATAACAGATATAACCAGCGAGCCAGATGAATAGTGAAGCATTGTGCGACCTTTTCAAACAGGGGCAGTCTGTGACGTCTTAGTTAACGACATGCTACCGAAACATCAACATAAAACATAGAAATACCTTTTTTTTAAACTATAACATTAAAATTAATTTGTAAATAACATTTTCTTATGAAACAAGGAATAGGAATTCAGTGTAATCATAGTTGTTTGTGGTGTCTCTTTTCACTTTTACACGAGAAAATTCGGATGGGCTGAAAAGTAGGTTATTGTCTGAATTCGTTAATGAGACTCATGTTTCGGTTTGCATAGCTTTGCTGACACCCAAGAGTGGATTACAACCATTTATTTTTCCTTCCAGGTTCTAACATCGGGGACACATTCAGTCACTACTCTCAATTTGGAATCGAGAAACATAATGAGAGAGAGCTTGAAACTAAGACGTTGAAGGAATGTGAGGAACAGTGTCTCATCACGAAGAACTTCACGTGTTTTTCAGTAGAGTTTATTAATGGTTTCTTTACCTTAGGTAGTAACTGCTTCTTGTCGAGTTCGAATTTCACGAGCATCCCAGAATCTGAAAAATCAACTCACTACACTGGTTGGATGTTTGCCATACGTGAGTGTATGTAACTTATCTCAGCGTATCTTCAACAAATCTCAAGAATCGTATGTGCGAGTATACTATGTAAAGCGAATTCAAACATTTATATTATTTTTTTGTTAACTTACACCACTAAACATACAGTTAGTAAACAGAAATATTTCGAAAAAAGGCCAATGCCTCAGATGCATGTAACATTAATTCGTGGGGAGTGGAGAAGAGCTTAAAGGTTGTGCTTGCACACACCTTCTAATTGCATTCTAAAACCATTATGGCGGACATGTAGACGACCTTTCCGAATTTGGCGCATCACTGACAAAATGATATTCTATGCAATTCCTTATTTTAAATGTACCATATGATCCCTTAATGTTCAGTTGACCAGCCTATGTATTTGTTTACGAAGGTAGGGCAGGATATTCATAATAAGTGCATTAATATTGCGCTAAACTTCATTCACTAAGTGAGTGCTCATAGCGCTAACAATCAAAGCACGGCACATTTATACCGTGGATAACCCAAGCTGCCTGAGGCCCTAGAAGGTTAATAGTTGTATGACTTATCTCACCGGGTACCCATTTTCCTTCCTCACCGAGCGCTCCCACTACATAAGGCAAATGTGGCTGGATGTAAAAGCCACACCTTTCAATGAACACAATTACATGTTGTTAGGGTTACAGTAAGGATGTTTTCTGACAGATTTGAGTATGTCTTTAAAGCTTTATTTGTTTCTTTGTATTCCTGGAACGGGCAAATGCCTACTACGACACCGAAGACCTAATGTACTGAGAATGGTTTGACAATTACGTCATCCGCAGATATATCTGTACATTTGAAATAAATCAAAAGAGGTCATTGTTTGTCATGAATAAAAAACATCCTTGGAATCTTCAACGTTTGTGTTTATCTGAATTCCTGATAGGAAATTCAGGAGCAGCAATTTTATAAGTTTGTTTCATTGATCTGCTAAAATCTGAGAAATGAATAGTCTCTTTGTGAAATATGCCTCTAATGAATTGTCTTTCCAACACATAGTAGTAAATAAATTTTCTGTGTGTCGACAATACGCCAAGGGTCGATGGACAAGTGATATATTATTGACATCCTCATTCCTGAAGCCGTATTTGTGTTACAGTCAAGTCATGAATATACAACCATTGACGTGACTGCAATTCCTTCAGCTTGTTATACAGTCTGAGGAAAGGGAGTGTATCGATATAACATGGATCATGCAGAAGTCTCCACATTCCACCTCCTTCTGTTTCAGTGGCAGATCGGTTGAAGCGGTCCTCCGCTCGAAGAACTCGGGAAGAAGTTTCAAATATGTAGCATATTTTCTAAACTATGTGCAAACCACACCTAGTTTTCCTTTTCCTAACCCAATAATTACCATCTTCTCGATATCTCTTGAATTTCTGCAATCATATTTTATTGTTGAACGTTCAACGTTTTTGGGGACGGTTGGGTAGCCTTGTGGTTCATGTCGAAGGCCCGGTTCGATTCCACACATGGGTACAATGTGTGAAGCCCATTTCTGCTGTCCCCGCCGTTATATTGCTGAAATATTGCTAAAAGCCACGTGAAACCATACGTTCTTGAGAGAGTAAATGAAGACTTTTCTAAAATTACAGACACTAATGACCTCAGAATCATGTCAATTCGCATAGTCATTCTCGACGTCAACCATATGTTTAAACAAAACATTTTTTGAATCCACAGTGTAATTTTGAAAGTGGTCAGATGTAACCTATGTTATATTTGGGATTACACTCTCTTTAGAGTGCTGGCGATTAGGTGCCCGACTCTGAGGGTGTGTGTTCGAATCCAGTACCTTATTCCTTATTATGTCAGAATAAGGTAGCTTACAACTGACACGATTTCTTTACAAATTTGTGGGGGGAACAGAGGGTCATCCATTCCAATAATGTTCACTGCTATTTTGCTGAGCTGCAAAATCGGAAATGGTCTCTTCTTCACAAGCGTTGATGATACGATGACTTTGACTCCCATCCACAAACTGTTTATATCTTCCACATTTGAAAATATTTGGCTTCATTTATCCTCGCAGTAGACGACCCATATAAATATCTTTTTGATATAAGTAATGTAATTCAGGACAGATACTACTGAATGAGTGCTTCGGATTCATTCACAAAAGGCGGCGGTGGAGTAAACTAATGGTAGAGCGTTCACTCGTCAGACCCGGGGTCGATTCCCCACATGGGTACAATGTGTGAAGCCCATTTCTGGTGTCCCTCGCCACTTCTTGTGGTATGCACTATCAGGACACAAATGCCTTGATTGAGTTCGAAAACGGAAACCGTGTTACGATTCTTTACAGAGGACAATGTCTCCTTGTTATCCATGAACATCCTTGTAACATTTAACCCTAATGTTACACTGCAAACTTACCCATGAACACGTACAGTTAACCCTCGTTACACTGCATTATAACCCACAGACAGGTAACTTAACACTATCCCTATATTCCACATGCAGTATGCTTGAGAATATATTGCAAACAAGCTTCTTTAATTTTCATCTTTGTGACGTCTTACAAATGCAATTTGAAACCTGGATTTAAAGTTCTCGTCCCCGTCCACATACGGGTACCAAAAGATGTAGTTGGTATTCCAGGCGTTGTTGTAGACGTTGAAGGCCGCCCCAGTGATGCGTTCACTGATGGGCTTCAGGGGCACAGGGAGGACTGAAGGAGGGTGGGACGCTGTGCTAAACATCACGAGGGGGATGTCAAGGCTCTGGAGACGGAGTCCGTCCCCGCTGTCGTTCAGGAAGTGGACACCAACGTCAGTCGCTGCAATAACACGTGCATGATGTATTTTACGTGTAGGCTCAAAGACAAAACGGCTGCGAAGTCCGTACGTCTCAACTGTAGTTTGATATCGTATGATATGTGTCAATAGTGCATGTCATTCTACTGGACATACAAGGTGAGAGGTCATACAATAGTGTATATTTGTCCCCATAACATTCCAGCTCAGCTTCATGCATTTGAGAATAGTGTATATTTGTCTGCTCAGCTTCAGATTCCTGTAAACATTATCATATCTGAACAATATATGTGACAGAGGCCCATATTGCCCAGATTAGCATACGTGACATCAGACCCGTGCCCTAAATATCAGAGTTTGAATTGATCTTTAGCAGCTTATGCTTGTAAGAGGCGACTCACGGCATCGAGTGGTCAGGCTCTCTGACAAATGTCATCGAATCCCAATTGCGTAGTTCGATGCTCAATCAATGGATTATCAAGACCCGATTATTTACAAACAAACCTACCATGAAGATACTGACTTCCATTAAAGACCACATTCAGAGGATCCACCAGCCTTCCAATTTTGGAGATCATCCACGTCTGGTTACCTATTGGTCGTGGCGCGAAGTTGTAAGCTATGGCCTCGCTCAGCCGAGTCGTTGTTTTATTGAATAACTGGAGTGTCACTTCGAGTCCTGAAAATGCATGCTTCAAATAGGCAACTCATTCAGTTTTTGTGCAGTCCGGTAACAGGGAGACAGGGAGGGTAAATCCGAAATATTCTAAATAAAACGAAATCTCGGCATTGATATATCAACAAAGCAGCACCGATATCAGAAAAACGCAGATGATTCTCACCTGTAAAGTTTTTCTTCCCCGTAGTCTCGGCCGGGGTGCGGGAGACATACTGTATCCACACTTCCGGTGGCGCTCCATAGTAGGACACGGGGGTGGCGTTGTCGGGGGTCAACAGGGCGAGGACGTCACAGTTGTTGACGACATCTTCAATCACAAACAGCCAGCTCAAAACAAAACACCATACATTTGATTCATACAAGTCAAAACTCCACAACTCTCCTAAGTACGAGATGGTTCTTGGAATCATTGACTTTTGTTTTGTTGTTTGTTTATTGTTTAACGCCAGACTCATCAATATTACGTCTATATCACGCCGGTCTGTAAATAATCAGGTCTGGGCCAGACAATCCTGTGATTGGCTCTTACTTTTGTTTCTGTAAAGCGACGACAATGAATACGGCCACAGTCTAGACTCCGGGTGCGCATTTATTGTGGCGTTTGTTTTGGTAAACGGAGTGCTGGAATTGCTCTTGTAGCAGTAGTAGCGAGCTACGTCGACATCGTCGCTGTCGTTGTAGGTGCGGTACATAAACTGCCCCATGGGGTTTTCAGTGCCGGCCCAGTTCACCTGTAGTGACCGAATGAAAGACTATGGAGTACCCGCGTGTTTGATTGATGTCTCATGAACCAATTCATAATTGTACTACTGATACATAAAATATCGTGATCTCTTGATCTCTATTACGATACTCGTGAGAAAGTAACATACTCTTTGTACTAATTTATTTTCATTCACACAGCAGTTGAACTGTTTATATACTTTACTGATTTCATAGATGCCTTGGGGAGGTGGGGTAGCCTAATGGTTAAAGTGTCCGCTCCTCATGCTGAAGACCCGGGTTCGATTCCCCACATGGGTACAATGTGTGAGGCCTATTTCTGGTGTTCTCCGTCGTGATATTGATGGAATAGTGTTAAAAGCGGCGTAAAAACAAACTCACTCACTCATGGACTGTTTGAAAATGACGTTTAACAACAATAATATTGTTTATCAGTTATGTACTTTCGATACTATTGTTAAATATTTACTGTTTTTGACAGGATGAAGGCAACCCCATTGCTCGGGGTCAATCCATGAGTCTCAGAGTCACAAATCAGGACCTCCTAGTATGTCACTCCAGGAATTAAGACGTCTGTCTTACGCATGTGAAACAGCGTCGTGTTTTGTTTTTGTTTCCCTTAAATATTCATTATGTCCATACGTAGATGATATTGGATGCACCTCTACCTTATTTAATGGATCATAAAGGTTGACGATGGATCCATCGTGACCAAACTGGATCTTCACGCCATCTCCACAAGACAACAGCATCGTTGGATCTTCTACCAGCTGGTAATCTGTAACAACATAGAATCTACGGTATCCATTATATCATAGAAACAAAAACAGAGAATCAATTTGATACACATTAACAAGCACCAACTATTTAACTCGAGTTTACAAAGTCAGTCTTCATCGAGGAACTTTCTAGTCAGTATTTAGAGCAAGATGTAAATAGGCCTACAACGCCACGACCAAAGAAATGGTAGTGTGTCTTAAAATAGCTTAACATAACAGTAGCTCTGAAATAATTACTGTTAATACATGTATAAAATTCTTAATCTAAAATACATACACCTAAAATCTGTATTTTCTCATATGTTGTTGTTTTTAAAATAAGTCCAGTTATTGAGCGCCAATTTCAACTCAAGATGATGTTGATGACGTGGGTGCTCATTGTGTTAAATAAGGAGGACCCGGTCAGTGGGACAATGTGCACTTGATTTTCATTCCCAGCTCCATGGGGAGAATGCAACCCTGGCTATTTATGATGTTCTTGAAGGAAAACACCCATCCAACCATCTCTGTACGTGTCATGGTTGGAGTATGCTACAAAGAATAATCCATTGCTAACCTGTCAAGTCGGGTTTCACGGGTGTTAGCTGTTCATATTTCTTCTGTATGTCCTTGACCACGGGGTGGTCAGACAGGGCACTTAACGCCAAGTCCAAGAACTGGCGCTGCTCAATCCAGGAAGCCACATGGATGGTGAAGTCAGTTGCTGAAAACAGATACGACAAAACTATTAACCCTGTAAACGCTAAGATATTGTGATAGTGTACGCTGCCAGTACATAATTAGGCACCATTCATAATTTATGGGTGGGTGGGGGTGATGATGATTTTAAGGGGGGTCATCCATTTAGTTCTAGGGAGGTAGAGGGGTCAGCAATTATGTACACATCAACGTGGGGGGCAGCAATTTTGTACGTAACATGTTTTAAAATTATGCTTAAAAATATGGGAATTGGGGGAAGGGGGTCACACACACACACACACGCACGCACGCACGCACGCACGCACACACACGCACACACACACGTCATAAATTATGGACGGTCCCTTACTAGGGCGGCAGAGTAGCGATCGAAGATCCGGGTTCAGCTCGCAATGCGGGTACTTCCGCCATGATATTGTTTGGCTAGTGCTAGTAGCGGCGTAAAACCATATTCAAACACACTCCGTAATTAGAAACTATAGCGAAGGTTTACGTACTATTCCTTGCCCTAGTGATAGCTTCATTCGTCCAGTTGGTGTTGTCCTTCAGTCTCTTCAAACCCCACGTGTGTTCTCCGGCTTTTACGAGCCACTTGGTGGACGTCTTCAGACGGGGATCTTCTCCCGAACAGTCACCTGGTGGTTACACAACACCAAGTGGTTTCCCATACACTTCCATAGTAACGTTATATGTTCTTCAAACAATAACCAGAGTGCCGATGTGCAAAACAACCTAAGCGCTAAGACTACCTGAAGTCTATATTAAGATATGGGAATTACGGTCACCTTAGCGCTAAGACTACCTGAAGTCTATATTAAGATATGGGAATTACGGTCACCTTAGCGCTAAGACTACCTGAAGTCTATATTAAGATATGGGAATTACGGTCACCTTAGCGCTAAGACTACCTGAAGTCTATATTAAGATATGGAATTACGGTCACCTTAGCGCTAAGAATACCTGAAGTCTATATTAAGATATGGGAATTACGGTCACCTTAGCGCTAAGAATACCTGAAGTCTATATTAAGATATGGGAATTACGGTCACCTTAGCGCTAAGACTACCTGAAGTCTATATTAAGACATGGGAATTACGGTCACCTTAGCACTAAGACTACCTGAAGTCTATATTAAGATATGGGAAATACGGTCACCTTTTAGGCGTATGAAGTACGCAATTGGTAAAACTGAAACAGAGATTTTGACAAAGAAGTTTAATGTTTTGGGTGTCAGTGACCTGACACCGGTCAGTGCCTATTAATAGGCCAGTTCCCTTCCAATGAATAGCGACACTGCCTAATGGTTTTCATACAAAGATCAATGCGTGAAGATTCATAGTGACAATATGTTTAGGACGAGCAACATTCCAGCAGCTCCAACCTTTGTTGTCAACATTTCACAACGTTTTGGGCAACATCCGAGCATATAATTGCCACGAAGAATTTAAGGAGCTTCTTAAGACTTCAAACGTTATTTCATCAGGAAAACAGCCTTCAAAACCTTAGTAAGACTTTAAAAATTATGGCAGACATGATTTGACATTTTGAATGTACCGTAGTAGTGAACAAGTGGATGCCTCTTTGTGAGGGATGCTACCTTATTGTGAACATTTGGTATCATCTATATTTCATACATATTCATACACAAGTGCTCATGAAGCAGACTCCGGAAACGTAGTACAGATTTTGCTTTTTGCATATTTTATGCTTTTAAAGCATAGCTTCTTTGTTTGTGTCCGTGCTTTAACTAACCAAAATGTTAATGGTAGACCGTTCACTCGTAAGACCCGGGGTCGATTCCCCACATGGGTACAAAGTGGGAAACCCATTTCTGGAGTCCCTCGCCACTTCTTGTGGTATACACTATCAGGACACAAATGCCTTGATTGAGTTCGAACCTTATTGTGAACATTTGGTATCATCTATATTTCATAGATATTCATACACAAGTGCTCATGAAGCAGAATGGGAAACGTAGTACAGATTTTGCTTTTTGCATATTTTATGCTTATAGAAAGCGCTTGGTCGCAGTTCCAAAACACGTTCTACCTTTATGGTAACATTTCCGTAAAGCATCTGAGAAGGCCCTGAATCTGGCATTTTTGGCGGGATCGGACGCCACTCCCTGAATCCATGTGTCTCCGATCTCAAACGTTTTCTTCGGTAATATATGCTTCACTGTTGACAGAGCCTCAACGTACAGGTCAAAGGTCGAGGCCGTGACATTGGCACCAGGAAATACCCCGTGGACTACAGCATAATTATTTAAAACTTCCTGAAATATAACACGAGACCACAATAAGCAACTTTAAAACAACCAAAACCTGCAATGTTTGGGCATGCCATCTTTGTCAGAGTTTCATTATTCCAAGCCAAACTATAGTAATGATTCTGGAAAGAAATGGACGACTGCCCTATACACCAGTCTTGTTGTTTAACGCCGCACTCAGCAATATTCCAGCTATATGGCGTCGGTTTGTAAATAATTGAGTCTGGACCAGACAATCCAGTGATCAACAGCATGAACATCGATCTATGCAACTGGGATACGATAACATGTACCAACCAAGTCAGCTAGCCTGGCCACCGAACCCATTAGTGGGTCGCCTCATTCGAGAGGGATGGGTTGCTGAAGACCAATTCTAACCCGGATCTTCACGGCAAACCGAAACATGAGTCTCATTAACCAATTCAGACAATGACTTCCTATTCTGCCGATCCGAAATTTCTCGTGTGAAAGTGAAAATAGACATCACAAACAACTATGATTACACTGAATTCCAATTCCTTGTTTCATAAGAAAATGGTATTTATAACTGAATTTTATTTTTTAACTTTAATAACATTGCATTTCTATATTTTATGGCGAGGTGTAGGCAGCATGACCTTAACTAAGACGTCACAGACTGCCCCAGTATGATGAGGTCGTTACATGATTCACAATGCATCTGGCTCACTGGTTACACCTGTTATGTGTTTTTTGCGTTTATTCAGTGTTGTTCTGTAACGCACAATGTGATTGATATAATATCAAGTATCAGACCGCCAAACTTTTCTAGCGGCCGAGCCTCGTTTTGAGATTTCTACGATTTCCAGGTTTCTGTTTGTCAGAGCACGCTGTATGACATGTTTGCAAGGATTAGGAGCGTAGTGTTGCAATATGTAAGTGCTTAGATGAATCAAATAATACTGATTAATATTTATGTATCCAGTTAAATGAATTGGTCTCAAAATTCTGGACTGGTTATTGTACTGAGTTGCGCAATAGGACGGAATCCAGTCAGCAGTCAGCATGACTGTTGAGTAATCAATGTTTTCTCTTGGTCCGTTCATTAGGGATATGCATGCAATGTTATATCTAGTAAACTAGATGAGACATCCAGTCAGTATACAGGAGGCCACCACTCTAAACCCACAGCTACATCACTTACCGTATAGTTTAATGGCGGGCCGCTATTGTCCGTCCTGAAGGCAAAGCACAGGGCTTCACGGAAACCCTTCACTATAACACAATCATCTCGACTAAGACCCCCAGGATCAGTAGCGTTAGGCCCGGGGTTGCCTGGGTAACCACCTGAAATACAGTACAACCAGAAATTATTGAGAATTTAGAGATTGTAATGCTTTTTTACTTCTTTCACTCATTACTCACGTATTAATGTGAATATTGGCAGAACATAACTCCAGATTCAAAGACAGGTGAACAGTTAGTATTTTGTCAAGTCACCATGGGCAGCAATGCTTCAATGCGTCGGGGCATACTACTGATCAAAGAAGTTAGAAAGTCGTGGTCCATGCTGTCCCAATATCGGACCACCTCTTCTTTCATTTCAGCAATATTTGTCAGATTTTTTTTGATTGACACTTTCCTTCATAAGTCCCCAAACATTTTCTATTGGATTTAGGTCAGGGCTATAGCTTGGCCAATCGAATAATGAAACATTTTGGGTCCGAAACCAGGCCTGTGAATGCTTTGAACGATGTTTTGGGTCGTTGTCCTGCTGGAAAATCCAAAACTTTCCATAGAACACGTGAGCAGATGGAAGTAAATGTCCCTCGAGAATATCTGTGTACCGCTCACTGTTCATATTCCCTTCAAATACACAGAGGGGCGTTGCCCCTAACACAGATATGCCACCCCACACGTTAAATTTCGGACAGTACTTTGGGCGCTGATACAAAGGTTTTTCAGTTTGTTTGGTCCAGAATTTCAGTTTATTAGGAAAATGCCACACAGAACTTTCATCTTAGAAAGTCACATTGTCCAAGTTAAAATTTCTATGCTGTAAGCACCAGTTCAACCTTCGCTCCTTTTGTTCAGGTTTCATGATTGGTGATGGAATTCCTCGACTTTTCTGCCAATCCATTCCATGCAGCTCAGTTCTAATTGTCTCCTTACAGACAGCCACAGTTCCTCTATCAACCATATCCAGCCTTAAGTTTTCTAAACTCCTTCGTTTGTTTTTAGAAAGAAGAATACCAAGCCGCCTCCTGTCACCAACAGTTAATTTTCTGGGCTTACCTGCGCCTCCCTGGTGCTCAATGATATATCCATTTGCAATATTTTTCAAAACACGATAACAGTGGACAAAGTTCTACTTGAAATCATTTTAGCTGATCTGATGTCCTTGTTATAATACTCTAAAATCAACTTCCTCTTCTCTAAATCATCCATACTGAGGATCACTGAAAATGTCGTCTGCTAGCAAGTAAACAAAGGGGGATAACTCTTCACAAACTAATGAAAAAGGATCAGTGGAGTTGCCTCTCTTGAATGAAACCAAGCACTTGATAGCTGGTCAAGGTTGTTTATACTAGAAATCCAATTAAACATATTCCTAAAATTCTGGTCATACTATACAAGCACGTCATACTCATAGATCGGTAATGTTGAACTTTGCTCATATCACTTACGCCATCAATCGTCTTCCTTTCGTCGTATGAGCGAAATATTCTCAAGCACGACATAAAACCCAATTTCACCTCATCACCTCCTTTGAAGTTGAGATTGTAGTCCGACCTAACCCAATAACCCTCAGAAGATATGTTTACCATACACGGATCTTTTCACGAGGATGAGATAATTAGCTGACCTTTGTGCCACATGGCGATGACCTCGCTGTCCTTGAACTTCCAGATGAAAGGGTTCGGGACATCTGGCGGCGCAGAGCCGTCGTTGACGCCGACGCTGACAGCAACAATCCCGTTCTCAGCCAACACAGGAATCACAGCCTTGGTCATTCCTATGTATGGACATATAGGCTGAAGAATCGCATCGATTAGTGAAACTAATATATATATATTTGGGGGGATTGTTTATAATTGCAACGCCTTGAATCACAGGGCTAGCCGTCTGCCTTTTACTTACTTTAATATAACATTGATTCTATAATGATCTACCGAAGAATGTACACACTTGAAAATTGGATTTGATCAAACAATTACAAACATTATCTGAACAGCACCGGGCCGCAAACCGTCGTCGAAGCACTTGAAACTTATGGTCAGAACACATCATCAAATGAATCCCATCATGTCTTGTTTGTCCTGTTTGTCCTGTTTGTCCTACCAGCCATCAAACGTTGTTGTTTACTATATTTTGTCCAGCTGTGTACATCGGTTAACAGTTGAAACGTCACAATGTAATGTCATGGGATTATCATGTCTAATTTGGCGTCAAATTACTTATGTGAAACAATCACATTTTCCTTTCAGTAAAACACACAAGAAAGATTGGTTGGTTGGTTGGTTTCTTTAATTATAGCTATATTTCAGCTTTATGATGATTGTTTGTAAATAATCGAGTGTTCTTTTAACTGTAATGGATGCAGATATGATGGGTCAAGGATTGTCAAGGATGTCCCATTGCTACATTTGGCAGGCAACGTGGGTCGCATTTGATTGTTTGTCTGTTTGTTTGACTGATTCGCACTCAGCAACATTCCAACTAAATGCCTGCGTCTGTGAATATGCATTCTAGTCCATCCAGACAATTAAGTGATCAACATTATTGCAGTTAGAATACAATGAAATGCATCGACCAAGCCAGCGAAACGGCCTCCCGATCCAGTATGCCCATGTTATGAAAGCATAGGTTGCTGAAGACTCATTCTAACCCGGTTGTTCAATGTTCTGCCAGTAATACCTGGAACATCTCTCTGGCTCATGGTAGCGTAAGTTCTCTTGATGCCAAACTGTTGGTCCAGATCCTTGCTGACGTTGAGACTGAGCTGGAACAGAAGCTGTGAGAAGTATTCTGGCTGCATGTTCATAGCTCCGGCATGCCAGGCGATGTCCCCCTGTTTCACTGCGGTCTCGAACGCTGATAACTGCTGGCTGGACGGGCACTGAAAGGAAGAAACCTCGATCCAATCTAACACAACAACAGTTTTATCCTTCGGGTAGTTTTGATAGACTCTGTTTTAACATTGATTTATCTCATTCAGCACTGAACCAGGATTGTGAAGCCCGACTTCACCAGAAATGAATGAATTGGTTCATTGTGTGTTATCTTTCATCAAACAAGGTGGATGAAGTGAGTAGGCAACATGAGTTAGCTCAGTTTAAGTATCCAGGTCTTGTTTACTACTTTGTTGAAACCACAGATTACGATTATAGTACTGAATTATGAAAAAATGTTTCGTACATAGGACATGATATTCATTTGCCTGACTACACAGGTATTTGAATGTAGGCTGAATATCCAGCTAGTTCCTTGAAATCCTTGTTTATATGACATGGCTTGAAGAACACACGGTACAAAATCATATCTCGTCAAAGACGTGCTTAGTGTTGGAAATATCCTTCTGGTTTAATAGAATCATGTTTTCGGCTCCTTTGGTTGTTTTGTATGCATGTTGATACAGCCCAACATGTTAGCATGATAGTCAAAAAGGGCTTATCCAACCAGTCAGTGTTTCCACGATGCTGATTCGTATATCCTTGTAAGCAAAAGTTTCCAAAAGTCAAAAACGTTCATCACCAAGCAGTTTTACACGACTGAATGATTGTCTGGAAGTAAGAGCTTCGTGTCAGAGTAATCCTTTTTCAGTCACCAGTTTGCAGTTGCTCGAACCAAGGATAATTCGACGTATTTTCCTAGCCCCCCTCTGACTACGACACAACTGACCATTCCCTGGCACATGACCGGTGCTGTGATGGACTATATCATTATGTATGTCACTCCAGTGTCGAGGAATAGGGCCTGTAAATCTTGCGAGGTAGTACTTCCGGTACTAAGCTGGTTCCCGGCTCCCTTTATGCGCCTCAAATTTCGATATGCGAGACGGGACCCAGCTTAATTCCGGTACCAGATTTCCGGTGACAAGCGTATAATCATGAACCAGTTTTGGTTCCAAATTGCACCACCGCCAAATAATACTTTACTAGACTGGACTAAGTGTACGTTGTTTGTCAGCGGTCTCGCGAAGTGCAGTGACCTACTTACGGGCCCTATAGAAACTGAAGACAGCTTACGTGGATGGGGATTCCGTTGAGGACGGGTGTGAGGAGGTGGCAGTTGGTGTACAGATACACCAACCAGGGGTGGGTCGTGTAGATGAAGGTTTCCGTGTGCCCACCCCTCCTCAGGTCCTCGGCCACCTGTATAGCCCGAGGATAGTACACGTCGAAGTATCTGTTGATGACGTTACTGGCGTACCCGACTGTAGGGTCAATACCATTGTAGCCCACATCTAGAAACAAGCACACAAACACAAACTGCCATTAACGATGATCTACGGGGTTAGGGGTGGCCCTGCTGTCTAAGCCGTTATCGTTGTGCAGACTTGCGTCCTTTGGGCACGCCGACAGCTTTTATTCTTGGTTCAAATCCCGTGGGTTTCACATCTGGTACTAAAACCTTTTGCTTTTGAAAAGTAAGTGGAAAATATACTTTTCTTCGCACATGGGTCCTTTACGTTTTTAAATCACAGTTTCTGGTAAACATTACGCGGTTGCAAACCCGGCAGTTGCATGCATTACCAAGGTGCAACCTAGTCACCGTGGCCGGTAGTTGAACGCAGTACCTTGGTGCAACCTAGTCACCGTGAGCGGCAGTTGAACGCAGTACCTTGGTGCAACCTAGTCACCGTGACTGACAGTTGAGCGCAGAACCTAGATGCAACCTAGTTACGGTGGCCGGCAGTTGAACGGAGTACCTAGGTGCAACCTAGTCACTGTGACCGGCAGTTGAACGCAGTACCTAGATGCAACCTAGTTATGGTGGCCGACAGTTGAACGCAGTACCTTGGTCACCGTGACTGACAGTTGAACGCAGTACCTAGATGCAACCTAGTTACGGTGGCCGACAGTTGAACGGAGTACCTTGGTGCAGCCTAGTCACCGTGGCGCAGGAGAACGTGAGCTGGCGTCACCCACACAATAACTGGCTGCACTAAATGACAAAACAATAACCACTCGACATTTTCTAACAATATTTCTTCATCTGGAACACACAGATTGCCCTTCTTAAAACATACCACGTTGATTTAAATACACCCGTCCACAATGATTAATATTGCTTAGTTTGTCATCACCTAACCCATCTGTTCAGCAAAACGTTAAACGCCTAACCCGTGTCACTGATATACCTTGCAATTAATGTCTGTTCTAAGTCAGCCTAGAGAATGGAATTCCGATATGAATCTCACCTAAATGGTTCATGAATATGACATGAACCTTGTCGATGTCATGCTTGGGCCTGTCCAGGCCGGGATCCTGAAACAGAGGACAAGGACAATAACGAACTATGTGTTTACAACTGCGGGTATAATTAAATTCATTCCAAAACAATTAAAGATATTGACAACGTCAGTTTCATAAAACAACAATAGGTACAAAGGTGCATTTTTAAGTCTAATTAACGAAACATACGCTATCGATGTCGAGACAGTGTCCAAATACAATGTGCGCACGTTTACTTTGAATGACATGATAAGTTGTTGGTGATCTACAGCCCATGTTTATGTTGTATTGTTGCATGGATAATTATTGTTTTATGATAAATTGCTAGTTTTACGTCTTCATCTGTGATAGTATAGTTATCTTACTATCCTTTGTCGACAGATATTTATATTGTCTAATTATATTTTTATAAATTCCACTCTCATAGTCACCGTGTGGCTGAAAAAGTGCCGATGTGACTTTAAATTTTAACTCACTTACTCATTGAATGACATGAAAGACTAGACAGATCATAGGTTTAACCTGAACGATGCTACTTACTGACGCTGATGTCGCCAGACACGCCAGGCCAAGGACAACTACTGGTGTCAGCGCCATCGCTTCACTGCCCAGTCACACTCGTGTACAAGTTATTGATAACAGTCAGACCTGTGTACAACTTGTTCATATCAGTGAGTGTATCGCAGCACATCAGTGACCTGACACACATCTCATCTATCTTGTCATGTAAGCATTCAGCATCCCGCAGCATGACCGCAATAACCCAGTGAAGAACATCTGTACTCAGTGTACTCCCACAGACCTAAATCCTGGGTCCTGAAGTATGGCGACGGTTATTTCCCTTTCCCAGAACGTTTGGGTGAAATAAGGCAACACGAACAGTGATGGTAGAACTAGCGTCGCCATAAAACACTGGAATAGAATGGGTAAATCTCACCTTTTTAACTACGCCGTCAGCATTATTCCACCTGTGTTCTCAAAAAGTGTTCTTGGCGATGAGTGATTATCAATGTTTCACTTAGAACATAAGACGACGAAGGGACATCATCAAAATTACTGGGAACATGAAACCTGACAATGGCGGGACATCATTGAATTACTGGGTACATGTGACGAAACGATGGGGGGACATCATTGAATTACTGGGTACATGTCACGGGGCGATGGGGAGACATCACTGAATTAATGGTACATGTGACGGGGCGATGGGGGGACATCATAGAATTACTGGGTACATGTAACGGGGCGATGGAGGGGCATCATTGAATTACTGGATACATGTAACGGGGCGATGGAGGGGCATCATTGAATTACAGGGTACATGTAACGGGGCGATGGAGGGGCATCATTGAATTACTGGGTACATGTAACGGGGCGATGGAGGGACATCATTGAATTACTGGGTACATGTGACGGGGCGATGGGGGACATCATGGAATTACTGGGTACATGTGACGGGGCGATGGGGAGACATCATTGAATTAATGGTACATGTGACGGGGCGATGGGGAGACATCATAGAATTACTGGGTACATGTAACGGGGCGATGGAGGGACATCATTGAATTACTGGATACATGTGACGGGGCGATGGAGGGACATCATGGAATTACTGGGTACATGTGACGGGGCGATGGAGGGACATCATTGAATTACAGGGTACATGTAACAGGGCGATGGAGACATCATTGAATTACTGGGTACATGTGACGGGGCGATGGGGAGACATCATTGAATTACTGGGTACATGTGACGGGGCGATGGGGAGACATCATTGAATTATGGAATTACTGGATACATGTGACGGGGCGATGGGAGACATCATGGAATTACTGGGTACATGTGACGGGCATCATGGGGACATGTGACATCGATGGAACATACATGGTATTACTGGGACATGTGACGGGGCGATGGAGACATCATGGAATTACTGGGTACATGTAACGGGGCGATGGAGAGAACATCATGGAATTATCATGTGACGGGGCGATCAGGGAGACATCATGGAATTACTGGGTACATGTGACGGAGGCGATCAGGAGACATCATTGAATTACTGGGTACATGTGACGGGGCGATGCAGAGAGACATCATTGAATTACAGGGTACATGTGACGGGGCGATGGGGAGACATCATTGAATTACTGGGTACATGTGACGGGGCGATGGGGAGACATCATTGAATTACAGGGTACATGTGACGGGGCGATGGAGGGACATCATTGAATTACTGGGTACATGTGACGGGGCGATGGAGGGACATCATTGAATTACTGGGTACATGTGACGAAACGATGGGGAGACATCATTGAATTACTGGGTACATGTCACGGGGCGATGGGGAGACATCATGGAATTACTGGGTACATGTGACGGGGCGATGGGGAGACATCATTGAATTACTGGGTACATGTGACGGGGCGATAGGGAGACATCATTGAATTACTGGGTACATGTGACGGGCGATGCAGAGACATCATGGAATTACTGGGTACATGTGACCGGGCAATGGGAAAACATCATGGAATTACTGGGTACATGTGACGGGGCGATGGAGACATCATGGAATCACTGGGTACATGTGACGGGGCGATCGGGAGACATCATTGAATTACTGGGTACATGTGCGTGGGCGATGCAGAGACATCATTGAATTACTGGGTACATGTGACGGGGCGATGGGGAGACATCATTGAATTACTGGGTACATGTGACAGGGCGATGGGGAGACATCATTGAATTACTGGGTACATGTGACGGGGCGATGGGGAGACATCATGGAATTACTGGGTACATGTAACGGGGCGATGGAGAGACATCATTGAATTACTTGGTACATGTGTCACATGTGTACATGGGCGATGCGATGCGGACATCATTGAATTACTGGGTACATGTGACGGGGCGATGGGGAGACATCATTGAATTACTGGGTACATGTGACGGGGCGATGGGGAGACATCATGGAATTACTGGGTACATGTGACGGGGCGATGGGGAGACATCATTGAATTACTGGGTACATGTGACGGGGCGATGGGGAGACATCATGGAATTACTGGGTACATGTGACGGGCAATGGGGAGACATCATTGAATTACTGGGTACATGTGACCGGGCGATGGGGAACATCATTGAATTACTGGGTACATGTGACGGGGCGATGGGGAGACATCATTGAATTACTGGGTACATGTGACGGGGCGATGGGGAGACATCATGGAATTACTGGGTACATGTGACGAAACGATGGGGGGACATCATTGAATTACTGGGTACATGTGACCGGGCGATGGGGAGACATCATTGAATTACTGGGTACATGTGACTGGGCGATGGGGAGACATCATTGAATTACTGGGTACATGTAACGGGGCGATGCAGAGACATCATTGAATTACTGGGTACATGTGACCGGGCGATGGGGGAACATCACTGAATTACTATGTACATGTGGCGAAACGATGGGGGACATCATTGAATTACTGGGTACATGTGACGGGGCGATGGGGAGACATCATTGAATTACCGGGAACATGTTACGGGGCGATGGAGGGACATCATTGAATTATTTGGTACATGTGACTGGGCGATGGGGAGACATCATTGAATTACTTGGTACATGTGACGGGGCGATGGGGAAACATCATGGAATTACTGGGTACATGTGACGGGCGATGGGGAAACATCATTGAATTACTGGGTACATGTGACGGGGCAATGGGGAGACATCATTGAATTACTGGGTACATGTGACGGGCGATGGGGAGACATCATTGAATGGACGGGGCGATGGGGAGGATCATGGAATTACTGGGTACATGTGACGGGCGATGGGAGACTTCATTGAATTACTGGGTACATGTGACGGGGGCGATGGGGAGACATCATGGAATTACTGGGTACATGTGACGAAGCGATGGGGAGACATCATTGAATTACTTGGGTTACACATGTGACCGGGCGATGGGGAGACATCATGGAATTATAATATTACTGGGTACATGTGACGGGGCGATGGGGAGACATCATGGAATTACTGGGTACATGTGACAGGGCGATGGGGAACATCATGAATGAATTACTGGGTACATGTGACGGGGCGATGGAGGGACATCATTGAATTACTGGGTACATGTGACTGGGCGATGGGGACACATCATTGAATTACTTGGTACATGTGACGGGGCGATGGGGAAACATCATGGAACTACTGGGTACATGTGACGGGCGATGGGGACACATCATTGAATTACTGGGTACATGTGACGGGGCGATGGGGAAACATCATTGAATTACTGGGTACATGTGACGGGGCGATGGGGAGACATCATTGAATTACTTGGTACATGTGACGGGGCGATGGGGAAACATCATGGAATTACTGGGTACATGTGACGGGCGATGGGGAAACATCATTGAATTACTGGGTACATGTGACGGGGCGATGGGGAAACATCATTGAATTACTGGGTACATGTGACGGGGCGATGGGGAGACATCATTGAATTACTTGGTACATGTGACCGGGCGATGGGGAAACATCATGGAATTACTTGGTACATGTGACCGGGCGATGGGGAAACATCATGGAATTACTGGGTACATGTGACCGGGCGATGGGGGAACATCACTGAATTACTGGGTACATGTGACGGGGCGATGGAGGGACATCATTGAATTACTGGGAACATGTGACCGAGCGATGGAGGTACATCATTGAGTTACTGGGTACATGTGACCGGGCGATGGGGAGATATCAACCAACACTATGTGGTTGCTGTTGTTTCCAGGTCTTTGTCATGATCAAGCACTGCCACCATTGTTTCACTGGGTTCCATTGATGTTCGATGAGGACAAATAAAATATGGAAATATTAGCGGCTTTGTGCGCCCCTGGCTGAATAAATGTATTCATATCTAGTTTTGCGTTTGTTGGGTTTTTCAACCCATCGTGATGCTTTACGTCAATATTGAATCCGTGTCCATGCGACTATTGCTCGTCTTTGAATAGCCACGGCTTGACCCATCCGCCAAGACCAGTGAGGCTTATTGATTATTGCTAGGACATGGGAACAGATACATTCAACGCTTAACTTGTTTATACTCCAGACTTGATTCGTTCTCTACTGGTAATGTTATCTGGTGAACACACTGACGGAGGATATGTTCAGATTCTAAATGAGTGGCAAAGTGTAGGATTACCATAGATAATCAAACCATCTTAATTAAATGTATCCCAAAAGCACTGGCTTGGTTCATTTTGTTCACTAAAAGATTTTCAACACGAATATGAAATACACATTCTAATGGTTACAATTTGACATGCATAAGTATATATAGGGCATTTTGGTTTGCTGTTTTACCACCAGAGTCTCAGAAGTCAGATTTATATTGAATACGTAGTCACGAGAGAAAGCAGTTTAATCTACAATTCCATTTTCTTGTCATATAGCAGTGTTATGAGTGAGTCAGTTTAGTTTTACGCCGCAATATTCCAGTTATATGGCGGCGATCTGTAAATAATCGAGTCTGGACCAGACAATCCAGTGATCAACAGCATGAGCATCGATCTGAAGCAATTGGGAACCGATGACATGTGTCAACCAAGCCAGCGAGCCTGACCACCCGATCCCGTTAGTCGCCTCTCACGACAAGCATGGGTTACTGAAGGTTCATTCTAACCCGGACCTTCACGGTCGCAATGGTATGGGTTCCTCGTGTCCAACCCATCTCAAGTATACCATTTTATCATCTTATTATAACAAATATACCGTTTGTTACATCTGATCTGGGGGGTTTATAAACCTTTCCTCAACAAAGTACAAATTCCCTAAAGGTTGAATCTCGTGTACGTTTTTAAGAAAATGTTATCCCAAATATATTTCTAAAAATGCGTTGTGAATTATAACTAACACGGTTTAGCGTCTATTATTGTAGGGACGAAATGTGCATCAACAAGTATCTCAAAAGCGGTAATCTGTCACTTTGTTCGCATGTCCAGGAAGTAATATGGAATCTGTTCGTACTCTGATCGACCACGTCGTCGGCTGTCACTGTCATCACTGTGGACCCGTTGATATTGTGAGTGACTTTAGTTTTACGCCGCACTTGGCAATATTCCACCGATATGGCGGCGGTTTGTAAATAATCTGGACCGGGCAATCCAGTGATCAACAGCATGAGCATCGATCTACGCAACTGGGATACAATGACATGTACCAACCAAGTCAACGAGCCTGGCCACCGATCCTGTTGGTCGAATCTTTCGACAGGGATGGGTTGCTGAAGATCAATTCTAACCCGGATCTTCCCGGGGTCCGTTCATTAGGGATAGGCATGCATGCAAAGTTATATCCGGACCAAGACCCCAATGATTATGTCAACCAAGTCAGCGAGCCTGACCACCCGATCCTGTTATTCGCCTCTTACGACAAGCATGGGTTACTGAAGATCATTCTAACCCGGATCTTCACGGGTCCGACCCTTTGATATAAGCCCCACATGCTGTAGATTTATTAGTTTAGTGTGAAGAAATTTAAACAGATTCAGAAAAGTTCATATCAACAGGGAAAGTATCACCAACTTCCAAACCCCTGAAATATACCAAGTATGATGCAGGAAATGTTGTGATGTGTCGTGTTTGCGGATGCCCCACACTCCAAACATCACAATATGTGTTCTCCTGTTAGTGGAGGATAAAGCTACAACCCTGTGTTGTATCACAAATCCACGACAAGGAATATCAACCAGCTGAGCAGAGCTACCACTGTACACCACCACACAATGACTTTGATAAGTTGAGGCGTCATATATCAGACATTTTAGACTGCACTTGAGGGGATCACCTTGACGATGCAGCTCACTTTTTCTTTACTTGTCAAAAATACAGTATCAGAAAGACTGTTTTTAAAATGGGAACGTCCAAAAACAGGACAATAATCCGTCAAACGATGCAACTAAAGCGTGTGCCGGTGTTTGGGGCAGTTGTGACTCACGATATACATAGTCCGTTGGCTCAAAAGCGGACCGATGAATTGCAATCTAACTCGAAAACTAATAAGCATAACATACTCAATGAAACGCTGATCATAATCAAAACATCATACCAACTCTGTGGGTTTTTTGCAGAATTTTTGTCCTAAAAATAATAAAGTTGTTTAACAAACTATCATTAAAATATTGACACAGTTCACTGTTTGTTACGAGGGAGGAGTGCAGAGAAAGGGACAGCCAGGTGTTCGAGAAGCACGTTCACAGACAAAGTTATTTATTCATTAACCTGTGCTGTACCGTCTCCATCCGTTCTCCAACACCTGGCTGTCCCTTTCTCTGCACTCCTCCCTCGTAACAAATAGTGAACTGTGTCAATATTTTAATGATAGTTTGTTAAACAACTATTTTATTTTTAGGACAAAAATTCTGCAAAAAAAACCACAGAGTGGGTATGATGTTTTGATTATGATCAGCGTTTCATTGAGTATTTTATGTTTACTAATTTTCGAGTTAGATTGCAATTCATCGGTCCGCTTTTGAGCCAAAAGGACTATAGCTAGGATTAGATGCAGCGCTTTGCCCATACCCATAAGGCCAAGAGAAATGTGATCACGGCGTACGATGTAACACCCTGGTAACACACAATCAGTACTGGACTTTGGTTAAGTCCAGCATATGTCACAAACTATAATCTTGAGGGAACGAACTTTTAACGTATATGTATACTACACCCGCTCTCTCAGAAATGGTGACGATACAATTTGCATCGAACATATAATTCATTTGTAACTGACACACCGTATACAGTTTTATAGCTGAGAAATAATATACTGGACCGTGGTCCGTTAGTTTGCATTTCAATATTTATATATACTCGGCGTCGTTAATGAAGGGTCAAGCTTTGGATAACTCTGTTTTTTTAAAGTTTTTTGAAAACACATCAGGCCGTTGAAATGTCATTATTACGCTCTTTAACGTCCGATACACTCTGTTACAAATGGCACTGTCGTTCACTGTTCAGGTACCTGTTTGAAGAATTCCGTCCGTATCCCCCTTTAAATTTCGTTCTAGTCAAATCATATCAACTGAAGATAAATTCCTCATCTGATAAGGATGGAGTTTTAACATGGTTCTTTAATTGTATCTGAATATACTGAAAGACACATCAAACTTCTAAAATGCCACTCAAAGATATTTTTCCTCATCGTCAAAATTTATGGGGGATACGGGCGGAAGTCTTACCCATATGATTAACACTGCGTTACGTAACAGATTCCTTAACGCAGCAGATCTTCAGACTGAACACTTCAGTGTTAACAATGTAAGGATATCCAGGGGCACCGTTCGTTTAAGGGCAGCCGGACTCCGCTGTCCACCACTAACGCCACGTCACAGACAGGCGCGTTTGAGAAAAGTAGACATCATGGCCGCTGGAATCAACGTCAATGGTCTCGTGTGCTCTTCACAGATGAAAGCAGATTCAATTTGTCCGTCCATGATGGTCGGCAGAGGATTTATCGTCGCAATGGAGAGCGAATCACAGATGCAACTGTGGTGTAAATTTGGAGTAGTTTTATGAAGTCCAGTCGCCATTGTAAGACATTTTAAATGTAGGTTTTCAATCAGGTTTAAATTTTCTTATCCCTATATTTCTGAACCGTACGTTAAAATTGGTAAAATCATCGCATCAAAAGCAGATAAGAGACAGTCAAGTGGTAAATTTATATTGCGTGAACTCTTACTTAAGCTGTACATAGCCTTTGTTGCGTTTTCAACAATGGATTTAATGCATGTAGCCATCCTTTTATTTCGATGAAGTTTTATGCCTAGATCAATATATGTGTAATAGGCGTATCCAGGTCACGGAACCAAATCTGTAATAGGCGCCAAGCGCGTCAGGTGTGCTAGACAGACGCCCAGTGACAGCAGAACAAGGTAGATGTATATGGCAAGGGTCAGATCGCTACTGAGTGTGCCTGGCGTTGTGTCTTCTCTCTTATTTTATGTGGTCTGGGCCCTTATTCTCGAAACATTCGTAGCCCTGAGAATTCTTAACTTTGATCGTAGCCAGTTTGTTAAAAATGGGCTTTAGAAGTTCTTAGGGTTGCGAACGTTTCAAGAATAGCTAGCCAGTACTCCTTGCCTACGTGTTCTGTAAAAGGTTCCTGGCCGGGTGTTCCAATTTCCTTTAATTATAGACACAACACTAAAAAATTACGTTTCCATTCATTTTATTTTTACAAAATAGTGCAAAAAAATAAAGGGGCAAGCCTGTATAGAAAAGAACAAAAAACAACAGCCCTACATATTTCTCCCCCTCCCGTTCCTACAGAATCCTACTTCAACTCCATAACAACTTCCTGTTAAATCCATCATGCTAACCTAACACCCGATATGAAAGATCAACAAAATAAACCTACTCGTTCCTAATCTATGTCTCCCCCTCCCACAACTATCACTAAATGAATATATCTCCCCGTAAAACAAACATGAATTGGAAACCTATGTGGACTTGGTGCAAGACGCGGAAGTCGGTGGATAACTTACCTGATGCGGGTACAGGACAACTGGCGATTCCCTACCTAGGGTAGGTTTATAAAGCCAGCATGAGGGCCATGTAGCCGGAGAAACCCAAAAAGGGCCAGAGCGCATACTCCTTACATCCTTACACTGCCCCACCCACTACGTAACCTATCGCAATAATTTAAACCCAAACCCCGATGCGGCCATATCCCTTCCCCCACGCCAAATCAAAAGTTCCCCTTTTGCTCTGCCCAATCCCCTAAAACAAACAAAAATAACACAACAAAAGCAAAACAGCTAAAACATAGAGCAGTAACGTTGATGCACACAAAAAACACTCAGGATACAATAAGTAAAGTCAGCAACAAAATACAAGGACAAAGTACATAAGCCGAATGCGATTAGGTCAGTCTCCTCCAACGTTATCTGGTCCTCCACCTCCTGGTCTTCACGGCTCAAGCGCCTCTTGGACTTTTACATAGATCTGTAGTTGCATTTTCTGTAAGCAACATTATTATCTGCATAGTTAAAGAACAATTTAGTTTTATTGCTGGACCTCCGCAAAATATCACAACTTTAGTCCCAGTAATGCTGACTTGTAATTTCCATAGTCCACAGCACATGTAGTTTTCAAACGTATCAAGTGATTTCTGTAAATCACGTGGGGTCTCCGCGAACAAAACAGTATCATCAGCATAAAGGAGTATAAGATGCATCCATTGAATAAAGGTGCTTGTCATCACGTTCCTTTAGACTTCATCCGCTATGAGATGTGGTTGTATATCACTACCAAGTATGAAAGAATCCGGCTTGGCGCCCTGAGTTCTCTCTGTGAAGTTGTAAATAGTCGTTCCATCAACCATTATCTGAAATGAACACACAGATTTATCGACCAGTAACGTCATTCCATAAATAGTCTGGGTGAGTGGGCAAGTGAGTGAGGTTACATGGTGATTACTCTTACCTGATAGACACCAGCGTCCAGGAAGATGGAGATTTTGGCCTCTTGCCCAGCAACGAGTAGAGTCATATCGGCGCGTTCTTCCGTGCCCCATGCCCCGTTTGTTTTGGTGTTGAATATTGTTGTTTTCACATCGCCCAGACTGTCGAGACGAAATGATATGTGGCAAAGGACGTCCATTCCACTGCGGATGTCCACTGTGCATCTACAACAGGCGTGAATGACCTCACTGACGTGTTCCTTGTTACCCATGACACTACGGTGACAATTGACAAATGGCAATGACCTGCACAACGCATGCCTCAGGATGTCATGTCATACGGATACCCCCTATACCGCCCACCTTTGTTGTCTCTCCCTCAGGATGTCATGTCATACGGATACCCCCCTATACCGCCCACCTTTGTTGTCTCTCCCTCAGGATGTCATGTCATACGGATACCCCCACCTCCTGTTGTCTCTCCTCATACCGCCCACCTTTGTTGTCTCTCCCTCAGGATATCATGTCATACGGATACCCCCTATACCGCCCACCTTTGTTGTCTCTCCCTCAGGATATCATGTCATACGGATACCCCCCTATACCGCCCACCTTTGCTGTCTCTCAGGATGTCAGCGTCATACGGATACCCCCCTTGTTGTTCTCCCTCATACCGCCCACCTTTGTTGTCTCTCCCTCAGGATGTCATGTCATACGGATACCCCCTATACCGCCCACCTTTGTTGTCTCTCCCTCAGGATGTCATGTCATACGGATACCCCCTATACCGCCCACCTTTGTTGTCTCTCCCTCAGGATATCATGTCATACGGATACCCCCTATACCGCCCACCTTTGTTGTCTCTCCTCAGGATATCATGTCATACGAATACCCCCTATACCGCCCACCTTTGTTGTCTCCTCCTCAGGATATCATGTCATACGGATACCCCTATACCGCCCACCCTTTGTTGTCTCTCCTCAGGATGTCATGTCATACGGATACCCCCTATACCGCCCACCTTTGTTGTCTCTCCCTCAGGATATCATGTCATACGGATACCCCCTATACCGCCCACCTTTGTTGTCTCTCCCTCAGGATATCATGTCATACGGATACCCCCCTATACCGCCCACCTTTGTTGTCTCTCCCTCAGGATATCATGTCATACGGATACCCCCCTATACCGCCCACCTTTGTTGTCTCTCCCCTCAGGATATCATGTCATACGGATACCCCCTATACCGCCCACCTTTGTTGTCTCTCCTCAGGATATCATGTCATACGGATACCCCCCTATACCGCCCACCTTTGTTGTCTCTCCTCAGGATATCATGTCATACGGATACCCCCTATACCGCCCACCTTTGTTGTCTCCCCTCAGGATATCATGTCATACGGATACCCCCCTATACCGCCCACCTTTGCTCTCTCCCTCAGGATATCATGTCATACGGATACCCCCTATACCGCCCACCTTTGTTGTCTCTCCTCAGGATATCATGTCATACGGATACCCCCCTATACCGCCCACCTTTGTTGTCTCTCCCTCAGGATGTCATGTCATACGGATACCCCCTATACCGCCCACCTCTGTTGTCTCTCCCTCAGGATGTCATCATGTCATACGGATACCCCCTATACCGCCCACCTTTGTTGTCTCTCCTCAGGATGTCATGTCATACGGATACCCCCTATACCGCCCACCTCTGTTGTCTCTCCCTCAGGATGTCATGTCATACGGATACCCCCTATACCGCCCACCTTTGTTGTTGTCCCCTCAGGATGTCATGTCATACGGATACCCCCCTATACCGCCCACCTCTGTTGTCTCTCCCTCAGGATGTCATGTCATACGGATACCCCCTATACCGCCCACCTTTGTTGTCTCTCCCTCAGGATGTCATGTCATACGGATACCCCCTATACCGCCCACCTTTGTTGTCTCTCCCTCAGGATGTCATGTCATACGGATACCCCCTATACCGCCCACCTTTGTTGTCTCTCCCTCAGGATGTCATGTCATACGGATACCCCCTATACCGCCCACCTTTGTTGTCTCTCCTCAGGATGTCATGTCATACGGATACCCCCTATACCGCCCACCTTTGTTGTCTCTCCCTCAGGATATCATGTCATACGGATACCCCCCTATACCGCCCACCTTTGTTGTCTCCCCTCAGGATATCATGTCATACGGATACCCCCCTATACCGCCCACCTTTGTTGTCTCCCCTCAGGATGTCATGTCATACGGATACACACACCCCACCCCTATACCGCCCACCTCTGTTGTCTCTCCCTCAGGATGTCATGTCATACGGATACCCCCCTATACCGCCCACCTTTGTTGTCTCTCCCTCAGGATGTCATGTCATACTGATACACACACACACACACACACCCTATACCGCCCACCTCTGTTGTCTCTCCCTCAGGATGTCATGTCATACGGATACCCCCCTATACCGCCCACCTCTGTTGTCTCTCCTCAGGATGTCATGTCATACGGATACCCCCTATACCGCCCACCTTTGTTGTCTCTCCCTCAGGATATCATGTCATACGGATACCCCCTATACCGCCCACCTTTGTTGTCTCTCCCTCAGGATATCATGTCATACGGATACCCCCTATACCGCCCACCTTTGTTGTCTCTCCCTCAGGATGTCATGTCATACGGATACCCCCTATATACCGCCCACCTTTGTTGTCTCTCCCTCAGGATGTCATGTCATACGGATACCCCCTATACCGCCCACCTTTGTTGTCTCTCCTCAGGATATCATGTCATACGGATACCCCCCTATACCGCCCACCTTTGTTGTCTCTCCTCAGGATATCATGTCATACGGATACCCCCCTATACCGCCCACCTTTGTTGTCTCTCCCTCAGGATATCATGTCATACGGATACCCCCCTATACCGCCCACCTTTGTTGTCTCTCCTCAGGATATCATGTCATACTGATACACACCCACACACACACTCACCCCACCCCCTATACCGCCCAGTTTTGTTTCTCTCCCTCAGGATGTCATATTTACTGCACACACTACCAACAACACAGAATGGTGCTCCGGAGCTCATTGGACACACACACACAAACAAACAAACAAACAAACAAACAAACAAACAAACAAACAAACAAACAAACAAAACCACCTAACTCTAGAAACACTCCCACTAAATAACACCCAAACCTTCAAAGACTTAGGTATATTTCTAATCACAACTGGCCTTCTATGTCGCATATATTCCCACATAACCAACTAGTGCAAACATACAACTGACAAAAACAAATAACAACTACATAAGCGGGATAAAAGTGAAAAAAGAAATACCTACTATAATACTACGAGCAAATTTACGTTCACTGTTTCCATATGGAATCCATAGTCAATAGAACGATTAAGAAAACATAATACTATATGAGTTTTGTTACAGCCGAAAAGGTTCAATAATAGCTCCAAAGCAAATAGTTACCTTGACAGGAGTCGAACAATTCCTTTATACAACGTTTCCAGACAGGCAGTATTTTGGGGAGTAAATCCCGAAGGAAAATTAATTTCTTGGAGAAGACTGCGGAATAATGTCACTGCGGTGTTGCAGTACATGGCGTGCGAATGAACAAATAATCTTGTGGGCGTGATTGACTAGATATCTGAGTGGCATGCTATCCGTGTCTGACATGCACACGTGCACTTCCAACTATACTGTACCGTGTTGTCTTTGTCGGGGTTGCCGTAATACGCAGGTGCATATCACTTGAAGCACCGCATGGCAGTCTATACAAGACACCTACTTCCTGGAAAACATCATTCATATGTGAACATCATATATATAACATAACGAACGCATTGCGCAAGAAGTATGACAACAGACATATACATATAGCGGCACCTTGTCGTAGCCTAGTCGTCTCAGTCGTGAGTGAGTGAGGGAGTGGTCGGGTGAGTGAGTGGGTATTTTGGTGGGTGGATGGGTGTGCTTGGGTGAGTGAGTGGGTGGACGGGGACGGGGTGGGGATGGGGATGGGGTGGGGGTAGGAGTGAGTGAGTTTTGAGAACACGTTGCCTTTAGCAATATACCATTGATATCACGGCCTGACGAGCGAGGGCTTTAACCACTAGACCACCTACCGCTTCCCGCCACATCAAGAAGTAACGCCGTGAAATAAGTGATAAACTGTTCCCATGCCACTGACTGTTCCACGTCTCTCGGACATCGCGTACCCTAACGTGATATTGTATGTTGCTAGCAATGGCTGTTCATATCTACTATACCTCTGGTTTCAGAAGCACGTGTCACATGATGCCATCACTCGTGGTCAAGGGGACCATTTCTCTCCCGACAACATATGCGCGAAAGTGCATGTGATATATCTGTAAAGAGATCTATATTTTTATATAGATCGGCCGCCCCCGTGGTGTAGTGGTTAGAGCGCCCGCCCAGAGAGCGGAAGGTAGCGGGTTCGATCCCCGGCCGCGTCATACCAAAACACGTTAAAATATGTTACGTATTGGTCCCTCCTTGGCGCTCGGCATTAATGGGTACAACAAGGACTGGTCGGCTTGGAGTCAGTATAATGTGTCTGAGTTGGGTATTCATGCTTCACTGCAGCATGGTATCTCAATGGGCTAGCACTATAAAACCAGCTTAAGTCTCGGTTAGTACAAGCAGCCGCACATACACACGCATGCATGTCGTCATATGAGCGATATTCCTAAGTACGACGTTAAACCCAATTTCACCTCAACTCACCTCACCTCACCTCAATTTTAATATAGATCGGGGCGTTAAAGCGTTCGCTCGTCACGCCGAAGACCCGGGTTTGATTCCCTACATGGGCACAATGTTTGAAGCTCATTTCTGGTGTCCCCGCCATGATATTGCTGGAATATTGCTATGAGTGGCGTAAAACCATACACACTCACTCACTTTAATATATCACTGTTTCTGCTTACAGGGAACGGCAAATGTCTTTATAAATACTGAGCCAAACTTCCTAATCATACAGTCCTTCAGGACACGAGGGCGACACTTTTCTGCTTCTATGGATAATGTTGAAAATAACAAAGAATTAAGTTATCTCTGCTGTTGTAAACTTGTTCAAAATGATATTCATTTCATTAGATATTGTCTTATTCCAAAAAGTTACAATTGTCACAAAGCAATAATTCAGGTTTTAGAAACTGTTTGTTCGAACGTGGTAGCTTTAAACCACGTGCTGAACATTATATTTCGCCAATACTCTTACAAGATCTCTCTATACAAGACTACATCTAGGTACAACGTCTACTCACGGGATTGCGCCATCTGTATAGGCCGCAGAGACCCGACAGGGCATCCCATTCACCCGTGGACTGACAGACACTTGTGGTTTGGGCGTCACATTGTTTATAATCCTCTATACATGTGTATTTACTAGTTGCTCCATGGAACTGCCCCTCGGTTTCTCTAGTAGCACCGTCAACAACTGGCGGTGACCCACACGGAATGTCTGGTGTCAGAACATTATAGCTGTTTTCAGAACAGAATGATACATATCCTTCATTTCAACGTCCGAATTTGAATATATCGGTCTAACGCGATAATTTAGAATGAAAATTACAGTTTTATAGTGATGTTGTTATATTGTTCAAAAGACAAATTATCAAGAATAATGTAATAAATATTAAGGGACATGGTAACAAATTCAGATATATTGACCATCGTTTTGAAACATTCCTCAACATGGAGACATAGTTCGGATTAAGGATTAGCTGTTGTTGTTGTTCCTGTGTGGGATTAGCAGATAGACCCATGGAACCAAGCTTATGGTGCAAACCACAGGGGTTCGAATCCCTGTTTGGACAATAATTTTTACAAATAAAAATATACTCATTACATAAAATATGTATTTTATGTAATGAGTGTAGCGGGAGAATTTTTTTAAAAATCCATTTCTTCACCGAATTGGTTCAAATTTGAAATATAAGTTACTCATAACATATAAAAAGAATACTAGTATACGGTTGCAAAAATCTAGAGTTTTATTTTTTTTAAATATTGTCCAAACAGTGATTCGAACCCCTGTGGTGCAAACAAACCAAGGACAATACACAGCGTAAATCGAGAACTCAGGCCCACAATTATAGCTCCATGAATAATGATGAATTATATCATCATTTGAATATTGTTTTCTGTGGAATCCCTGAAAGGACATTGTCACGTTGTAGCATTTAGCGTTGTCGCCTTTACAAAAAATATGTAGCTGTTAGAAATATACAAAAACATTGCCACGACGTAACAGTTTTCAAGGTCAAAATCATCTAAAATGTATTAAAATACGAGACAACGCAACAATATGCCTTCCAGGATTCCATAGTTTTTCCACCCATTAGTATAGTTCCAGAGTTTGTTCTGATACCTGGTGCACATGATGTCTGGCCCAGCCGGTCAACCAGGCACCTGGACATGGCCGGACACACCTGGGCAGTAGCACACGGACCAGCCAGGCGCTGAGGACAGATGGACAGACACTTATATTCTGACGTCATTGAGTGGCAGTTTAGAAGCTGGGAAGGACAATACATATTTATGAATAACAGCTTCCTTTATTTTGTGAGTGCGTCGTTTCGATAGAGCGTCTTGTACCGTTAAGTAGCAGGAATGTAACAAGAGATGAAGATGATGATTTTGGAAACCGAGGCCATATAGCTGGAACATTGCTCTGTGCGGCGTAAAACTAAACTCACTCACTAATTTGGAAACTGACACGTAATATACGACCCCTTCCAGTGCCGAATACACGATATCAATACATCATAGCAATATCAATGGGCTTCATTTAGAACCTTTACCTGCGGCCAGTGGTGAATGTCACTGAAGACAGATCCTGCTCCAGTGATGACATCGACGTGGTCGCTGGTGTTGCTGTTGAGGTGGCAGGTGTGATGCTTATAACTGAATGACAAGCATGTTGATGACATGAGACACTCTGATGCACACTGGTACAGAGATGCAGCGATGACCTTCCTGTAGACGCTGCTGTCCATGTAAGTGTCCTTCTGAACCACCGACCATACGTCGAAACACTTTCCACGTGCGGCTAACACTGTGAGTGGGTGGGTGAAAATGACCGTTAGAATAAACGAAGCACACGACATCGCCGTAAACATCGCCTCTACCACGACTGTCATGTAGTCATACAGTCATCCTCCGTATAGATATCAACATCCAGCCACCTAGAGTTCTGCAACTAATGTCACCGAAGGGAAGAGGAGTTGTCTGGTTCTCTTCGTCTCATGAGAGACGAATCAGCACACATGGTCTCGCAACATAATTATAAGGACAATCTGAAATCAATGGTGCGTGGTTATAAACTGTCAAAGTGACAAAGCATCCCATAATGACATGCTATTGTTATTTATTACTGCATTATTCTAATCTCATTAATGATATTTAGAGAACTCGGGAATAAGGAAGTAATATTTTCATAATCGATTTGATAATTAAGAAATGAATTTACTTTAGTAGCAAAACAGTTCAACAGTTCAGTATCAGAAATGAGAAACAGCTAACGTCCAAGGGAAATGGAATCTAATGACAATGTTTGATGCCTCAAGCATTGTCCGTTATAACACGTTATATTTGGGATTACTGGCTGAGCGGTCTAGGCGTCTGACTTTGTGTGCTGGCGATTAGGTGCCTGACTCTGAGGGTGTGGGTTCGAATCCCGGATGGGACTCAACCCAAAAAAGTACTAGAATCTGTACTTTACTAAGAAATTGTAATCCCAAATATAACATGCGTTATAATGGCATTGTGTATTTCATTGTCCGTCATATTAATGGCCTGCTTTATATTCATCGTATTTACAATGTTTTACCAACGGCTATACTAATAATCATTTATCGGCTGAATGTACTACGATCTGAATTCCCAGAAAAAAAACATGATCAACATGAAACATGTATTGGAAAACAGAATGGAAGGTTTCTGCTGCACCTACGGGACAATGCCAAGTGTTTCAAAGTCCAAGTCACCCTAGACCTACGCTGGTGCAGACCGTTGAGTGTAGGTATGTATGGTCAACTTAGGTGAACGGGCAGGTTCAAGCAGGCGTCTTGCAACTCTCCTAGTCTGAGAATTCTTTACCATTTTAACCGACTCATTTGGGATTATTGATGACGTTCGAGGTAATCTATGTTAAGCACCAGTTCGATATCATGCGCATAATACCAGGAAGAGAAAGGGGAAGGACCTGCCCTTCAAATGGTTCAGGCAGATGAAGTACTTGCTGTTTGCAATGATGCCTTGGGGAAAGAGGTGTCTGGATGATATCTACACTTGGGCCGACTGAAGATCTTTCATATTCAAACTGTAACCCACTGTGGGCGAATCCAGTCGGATCCAGCTGCCTGTCTAAACCACGTAGTCCAAGAGCCAGGGGGTGATTGTTGTACCGAGAGGGGCCAAAGGGTATGAACATGTATCCTGATGTAAAATTGCCTCACGAATCCAAAAAATTCAGTCTTACAAATCAAAGCTGTGGCTTTTAGCCCACTAGGGGGCGCTGAAGCCATGACTCAGCATTTTTTTCCTGGTAAACTGCTGCATCATTTCAAATGACACTTCCCAACTACAAATACTCAGTATTTGACCCAAAGTGGTTGCAATGTGAAGAAGAAAGATCAATGTGTAATTTCACAATGTAAAATGTTCAGCTAAGTAGTATGTTGAGCAATTACATATTGTTTTTCTTCTTAAATTTATGATTTTTTGTCATTCTACAACCTAGTCCTGCATATAACTAGACGACTTTGCACTATAACAAGGTGTGCTCGATGTAGGCCTTGGATGGAATGCGAGTTTATTCATATGAACTATCTGCAACCTGAAGTTCAGTGTAATGAAACGAAAATGTAATATAATATGGTACTTAAGGCTTACAAATATGTACAAATGTCTAAGGAATACAAATATATCAAGATAAGTGTTATATCTAAGAAAGAAAAAGTAAGGGTAATTCTACAAAATCACTTAAGGGGAGATAATTCTGTAAATAAGGTTTTATCACTTAAGGGGAGATAATTCTGTAAATAAGGTTTTCAGAAAGAGGTATAAATTGCTTTTCAGCCTGCACGCACGTAGTTAGACACTTTTTAAAGTATAATAAATCACCAGCACCTGTAAAACACCTGCAAGACCACATACCTAGAAGAAAACCTGGACTCCTCTATGAACAGTTTACGGTCCCAGTGTTGTCTCCTGATCCTCAGATGCTGTCACACAAAGCCTGGCGTGCCTGACGGCAATGTGGAAACATAATAGGGTCTGTCGTCAGACATCCGACTGATATGCTCCCTCAACCTATTGCTACGATTCTGCCATTAACTGGTAAGCTTCGTATCATGAGTATGATTTTACACTGATTTCAGCTGTATTCCAAATGTTCAAGTATATGCTGGCATACATAAGAATGCATGGAATACACTGCAAGCTATTGCATGAACTACAAACTGACTCATAAATGTAAGTATGCTTTATATGAACGTGTATGACATAATGCATATGAACATCTGGGAAATAAATTTTTAAGATAAAACAATAATAAATTAAAAAAACACAACTTGAACATGTCAATATTTTATTAACATATACAAGTTAAGTACACTTGTTTAACACTACTCAGTTACAATGATCAAACATGGCAACTGTGAACACTCATTATCAGGATGATAAAACATCTTCCCCTGAAAAATCAAAACCATTATTCTGTGATGAAACGTATTTAAGTAAATGAAATTTACAATCAAACTTACAAACATAGGAAAACACTAATGTGTTAAAAACTACCAGCTGTAAAACTAACTGTAACAATAACAAGATTATCTTAACTCCAGCATCTCCGCTATATTTATTCCAAGAAATGGGAATGAAGTTTGTTTAAATGTACATAATACCTTGATTATAGTGACAGCTATTCATAATGAAAGCAGCACTGTTAAATTTTCTTTAACAATAGAAATGTGTACAAAATATTTTACAAAAACAAGTGGAATCATTAAAAACTTTGATGCTTAGGGACTAACGGGAAGAAGATGAATTCGAAACAAAACCTTCCTCAATGTTAGTCTTCTTTCCAACTAGCGAAGATGAAACACGTTACCATGGTTACTAATTGTGAAAATTGCAAATTACAGTTGGTGTTATATTGTTACTGATGTACTGAACCAATCATGATGACAAGGGAGGCAATTCATTGGGTTTTGTTCAAAATATTAGTTGGCGATATCATTTCACAACAAATCATAATAAAACTATACATCTGAAAATGGAATGTATAACATCGGAATAAAAACGATAATGGACAAATGACCACTGCCATATTTTACATATACTGGAATATTTTTTAAGAAACGTATATTGCAAATGAAGGCAACTACAGCAATATATTTTCAAGACCAAGGAATGCAATTAACAAAATAATACTTTCTCAAAGTATGTGAAAATTTAGATATGAAATAGACAGTGCTTTATACGTTTACCTTCTTGATCAAGGCTTCTGGGTTAAATTCATCACAAGCTTTTTATTCTCTCACAAACCAAGATAACCTTAGTTCCTAATGATATAAGAATTAACAGAATAGGTAACATAAAAATAATCACATCATGTCTTTGCAAGAAATAATTATCAAATTTGGCATGAAGACGGACGGAATACTGAATAAATGGAAACATTAGAAAAATTGTGTATAACATATTTAAATATATGATTATTAGTAAACAAAATGTCCAATAAATAAACATGAATACATTCTCCTACAAAATTGCCACGACATACATATGTACAGATATTTCTTTATGCACAAGAAGCATAGTCTTTGTGTGGAAACTCCAGTCACTTTGTCATTTATTTTGTCTTCTTCTTTTTCTTAGAAATGCGTCTTTTTGTTTTTGAATCAATGATGGACTGCGACTGTTTCTTGATTGCGGATCGAGATGGAACATCTCCGTCATCTTCACCACTGTCTTCATCATCTGGATCAAGATGAAAATAAACATGTACAATAACAATTGAATATGTATGTGTCGTGACAAGATGTAACAATCTCCTGAAGGTTCCACTCTCTTCAGTTGTGTGTCCATATTTAAGATGTCAGCATTTACACTGTTTATGTTACAGAACTCAAACAGCAGTTATTTATCAGGTAAGCCAAGAGGAAATCACAGAGGTCAAACATATCACAAGGAAAATCACTAAAGATCAATCCCAGGAGACAGACAATTTAAGCTTCACGGCTGTAATATATTCTGTGTGCAGCAGGGTAGTTAGTTACCAGATGAAGGGCAAAAACACATCATGTAAATTGCAGGCTAAATACAGAATCTTCCATTCCCTAGGTGAAATCTTTCTTAAGCTACATGAGCAAAATTCAGTTCATACTAACAGTGAAATTAAACATTTTGACAGAAACTATTATGGACTGCTTTCCACATTTTATAAGCAAGTATGAGGTCAATTTCACAAATTGTATTCATACTTATATAGTGTATTGTGTGTAATGTATTGGTGGATAGATGTATGACTCAAGACTATCGTGCAGGAGAGCTAGTTTATCCTTTGGTCTGAGTTTGACACTCTCAGGGAATAAACCATGTGAAGAGGTGAGGTACTACATTATGAGACTGATTTCTCTATGACAGATCAACTGATTACTATCCAAGTCCACACATTTTTAGATATATATCTGATCTTAGAACATGTGTTAAATATGAGATTATAATATGTTCTCATTTCTACAGCCCAAGCAGAATTTGGCCCACACAAGTTTGGCAGATAATTTTAAGTCAAGATCTGTAGCCAGTGGTCTAAAATAACATCACGAAAATATCATCAATGAATAATCAATTTTGACAACAACAAAAAAATCAGTCAGCTTTGGCCCAAGCTAAAAGATGTATAACTCCAGTTGTTCAGGATTCTTCATGAGGAAATATCAGATAATTGATAATGTAAAATTAAACACTTTTTCGTATCACATCAGCCTCTTCTCACACTGATCTAATCAACAACTTTCAGAACTACCTTCTGATGTACACAAATAGCGGTCAAACTGTGAATGACCAAGTGTAGCACATGCAAACAGAGCCTGGCTAGCTATTCTCGAAACGTTCGTAGCCCTAGAAGCCCTTACATTGATCGTAGTCAATGTGTTAAAAATGGGCTTAAGAAGTTCCTAGGGCTATGAACTTTTCGAGAATAGCTAGCCTGGTGTCCCTAAAGTATAAACAAACTTTCCCAAGGAATTGTGTTGTGCTGTTCATGCTGTTTTCCCTACTGGTGCCACATGACAAGTCACAGATCATGCATACTTTGCCATGCAAGACTAGATGTGTTTTCTGTTAGAGTTGGTACAGAACTTTACAAAGAGCAAGCAGACCCTTTCAACAACTACCAACAAGAACATTCAAACTGTCTTCAAATCCCACTTACTTATTACTTCTTCTAAAGCAATAACCATAGAAATTCAACATATTGATGGATGATAAGTCAAGGCTCGTTAGTAGAAGGTTCTTTTACTATTCACTAAATTCATATGAGATTCAATCATTTTCCAAATCAATGCACACCCTGACTACTGTTTCTTCAAGAGCAACATCCAGACTTATGAAACATGTAAAGGATTTCCAATATGAAACAATATACAATATTCTTATTTCATACTTCAATACTCAGTGTAATGTGACTGAAATAAGATTATTCTGTACTTCAGAAAACTTGATAAACAAATCCACATGTTCATGTAATTCAAAATGTATGTGAATAAAGAAGCTGAAACTTATAAGAAAGATGTAAATACCTTCATAAACAAGATCTCTTTGTGTTTGGGGCAGTCTGATCCTCGTGTTGTATGTGGGTAGCGTCCCTTCTATGCTTGCATGGAACTGAAAACACAAAGAATGGAAGAAAGTCGTAACAAATTTTGCATAATTTCAGTCTGGTTCACATCACACAGCATAACAAAATGTACAGCATATCTACAAATTGTTACAGTATGCCAACAAAAGAAGTATTCTACAATAAAACTGTAACTTAATGACACAGCTAAAACTTTAATTGCAAAAAACAAACGTCAGGAATTATTACAGGTTAATTGCCATTTTCAAGGATAGATATTTATGCAATTAAAGTATTCACATTTAGATTTCTTTGTGAAATCTTATGATGAATATATAAGAGGTTTCTGGAGGAAAGAGGGTAAAATCAGATTCAAGCATTTTTCAGTGTCACAGTAGACAGTATTACAAGAAGTACTCATTTCTAGGAACCATCCCTACCCCGGAATGCCCACAGGTGGATCTAACTCTAGGAACTGAGCTCAAAACCAACAATTAGTTCCCATTCAACCATTATCAATGATATCCTTTCGTCTCAGTACGTCACTGTGATTAGCAACTCACCTCCTCCTCCTCCATCTGTTTCAGGGTTTCATTCAAATCTTTACCATCCAGCTCCTCTAGGAGTTTGAGCAGCTTCTCTTCTGAAGTCGACAACTGATCCAACACATACTCATCTGACGAGGCATTGATCTGGGCTGTTGGCACGTGACCTTTACTCTGTGTGAGAGAAATACATTCGTAAGTGATGAGTTTTGTTTAACAGCACTTAGAATAACGTTCCATGTATACCATGATACCTTGATGTATGGGGAAAGATATCAAGTGCAGTCATATCTATATTTACATCACCCTTTGTTCTATGCTGGCAAGCACTAGCATGTTTACCTACGTAAACAAGAAACAAGGTGAAACAAGACAAAACAACCTTTTCCAATCCATGACACAACAAACAGATTTATAATGTAAGAAAGTAACTTTTCATCAGGATGAACAGAATGCATAATGACTGTTTATATGCATAAGTCCTGTTCTGTCCAAGTCATGTATGATGACTACATGGTTGTCTCTACTCACAGCCTTCAGGTGGTGTAGTTTGTCAGCCAGATGCTCCACGCCAGCCTTGACCTGCACCAGGATCTTGCTAGCCCTCTGCAAGTTCTCATCGCCATCATCACGACGGTTCTCCTCTTTGGAAAGGTGAGCTTCGAACTCCTCCAGAACAGCCTGCCCACTGGAATGAAACATTTTTTATTGTCAAAACCGCTAGCACCATACAATCACCACTATACAACACTAAGTTGTAGACACACTGAGATAACAGTAGGACAATGTAGTGCTTTACAAGTGTTTGGGCATGGTGCAACAATAATTGGCAAGATATGGATATTCAGAAGCTTATCTTCAAATTCTGACATGTTACTAATAACATAAGAGCATTAACAGACATCAGGAAAGACGTTTCTCTTCATTCAGGTTCTGAAAATAACTAAAGCATAAAGTCTAACAAAACATTTTGTGTTCCTCCAACATTTCTGCCATGATCACTGCAGTCCTGTCATTAAAACCATTTTGTGTTCCTCCAACATTTCTGCCATGATCACTGCATTATCCTGACTGCCAACAGTGATGAGTCCTAAGTCATTAAAACCACTGAATTACAGCACATCTGATAACAAGGATCTTATCTGATCAAGAATTCACTTGCCTTGAGAGTTTGGCCTCTCCTGAATACTTCATCTCCTCAAATTCCTGCTTGAGTTTTTCCTTGTCATCACGGTGATATAGATGATGGTCTTCTCATTGTCCTTCTTGAGATCCTCCAAATGCTGAGTGGTGTGGCCTTGACTCTGGAAGCGCTCAACCACCTCCTGCAATCACCAGTGATCACATAACTGATATGCATACAGACACACAGCAGACACGAAGCTGGTTTACCACAAGTTGGAACCAAACTCAAATTTACAGCATTACTGAATAAACAAGGAATAATCATAAAGAATAACTACTCTGTTCAAAAAAAAAAGAGAAAAGCATTACATCCAGACATTTTGTTTACCTCAAAAGTTTAGCAAAGGAATCGGAACATAAGGAATCCTGTTAATACATACACACTGTAAGCCTTGCAGTCTACTCACCATAGTATCAGATACCCCAGTGGCCTCCTTGATGCGTCTGAAGGCCTCCTCGTATGTGGTGATCTTCTGCTGATGCTCCTCCCCAGTCAAAGCAGTCTTCTCTGTGCCTGTCAGCTCATCTCCCTGTACTGACCCACGCTGTGCCTGCATAGACAGAAAGCAATGCTGCATGTGTCACACAAACAAGGGAACGTGCACAGAAAGGGATGACATTAGTCCTTACAGAAGCTTCTGCATCACATATGACTATTCCAAAATTATCAAGCACAATTTCTAAAGTGTATTCATATTTAATCCTGAACTGAAAATCACTATACATTTCTCAATAGGTGTTGATTTAACAAAGAGCTGTAACATCATAAACAATCACATTCTTGAACAGTGTTTCCATATTTCTCCTCACCAGTCTTTTCTCTATTCTCTCGTGTTGCATCTTCTTCTCCTCAGCCTCCTTCTTCATCTTTTGAAGTTCAATCTCCCTCTTCTTCCTCTCACCATACACAATATTCTCCTGTTTCTTCAGCTCAGCCTGAGCTGACTGTTTAGCTCTCTCAGCATCATTTTCCATGGCCTTGAGGTCCTTCAGCTCTGCCTTTGTCTTGGCAATCTCTTGCTCCATCAGGTCCAGTCGTGTTGGGTATGTCTGGGCCTCCTGTAGGTACAGACATTATTAGAAAAGATGAGTGAGTGAGTGAGTTGGTTTTTATGCCACTTTTAGCAATATTCCAGCAATATCACGGCGGGGTACACCAGAAATGGGCTTCACACACACATTGTACCATGTAGGGAATTGAACCCAGGGGCTCCTTTCACGAAGCAACCTTTACTAAGGTTAACCTTAACTCCCATTCTTTAACATTGTACTAAGCAGAGGCCCAGATAAGCTGCGTATCTGGGTAAAATACAGACACAAAAAAATTATATTATGCATTGAAAAATATTTGTTGCGTACCAATTACCATTTAAAATGTTAGATACGCAAAAAGTTTATAACAAATGCGTACGGAATATATTTATAAAAATCGCTTGCGTAATGAAAAAGACATCGATTGCTATCAAGTTGTACTGTTAGTACAGGACAAGTGTTGTACTGTCAGTACAGGATGAGTGATTTTTTATTAAATCATTTCCATTATATTTCAGTTGGTTTTGATTAGGTATGACATAAGGCAGTACATACCTGCTTAGTAAACTTACTCAATGACATAATACTTAGTTGAGTAAAATCAATGAATACCCACATATTTGAAAGCAGTGGGTAACGGAAAATGAAATACCCACTCAACATTCATAATACCCACTCCAAAAAAATACAATGGGTACAGTACCCACATGAGCTAAATCTTATCTGGAGCTCTGACTAAGGTTACCTTAGTGACTAACGATCACCTTAGTGCTTTGTTAAAGGAGGCTGCCCCACCACCTTAGAAAAGATGAATCTTAGTTGAAGATTGGTCATTCGCATTCATTGTGAAAGCCTTCAATACTGAATATTGAACAGGACACCTGTAATCCTTTTCAACTAAAGTTCACCCTCCAGTAGGTTTAACCAATGTCAAACAGACTCTATGATATACTAAAACAATAGAGGATGAAATAAATTCAAACACCTATGATGGAATAGGTTACTCTAATTCTTTACCTCAGCAAACTTGGATTTGATCTCAAAGTAGACTCTCCTGACTTGTTTTGCCTCTTCACACTTCATGATTATTTTGTCATAGGCGTTTTCCAGGTAGCGCATTGTCTGCAAGCAGAGAAAAGGAGGAGAAACACTTCACAGTTAGTTCTATAAATAGACAGTATATATGAAAATACAGTTCTGTTGATGATACTGTTTTAAAGCCTTTATGAAGAAACAATTTACTAAATGCATTGTTGCGTTGTATGGTCGGACAGCATCCTGAGAGTGATGGTTGAGTAAGGAATAAGGTATCACACTGTTGTAAGGGACCATTCATAATTTATGGCTAGAGAGGGTGATGATGATTTTAAGGGGAGGGGGTACCCATTTTGTTCTGGTGACCTACCTAGGGGGTCAGCAATTTTGTACACACATGGGGGAAGAGCAATTTTGTACATAAAAATATGTTTATAAAATTATACTTAGAAATTATGGGAAGGGGAAGAGGGGTTATTGACTTTGTACATGACATGCAGGGGGGTCACTTATTTTGTACATAAATTTTAGGGGGGTTCATCCACATTGTACATGCTTCTCCATAAAAATCATCATCACACACACACACACCCCAAGCCATAAATTATGAACGGTCCCTAAGAAACATGTGAAAAGACAACTGACCAACTGTTGATGAGAGGGAATTACTCCACACCAAGTTGGCAGGCTGAATCACCTTCCATGCAGTTAAAAGACCAACAAATGATAACAATTACAGTAAAGGTGCCATTATGACAGCTTAGACACTCAGGGATTGAAAGAAGAAGGAAAAATGAAAAGAGTGAAAAAGGAAGACATGGTCATCAATATCCCCCTCCACAGTGTTCTGTTCCTATTTGGTTCCTGTCTTTTAACTCCACCACGACATTCATGTCCTGAAAACATATACCACATTTGGTTTCCCTATCTTTAACGGTTACTGACAAGATCTGTTCCCATTGGGGATAACGTGCACTAGTAAGTCAAGAAATGCATGACAAGGGCCATAACTCTATAAAGAATCATAACCATTTTTTAACTCCATCAAGGCATTTGTGTCCTGAAAATACATACCACGTTTGATTTCCCTATTACAGATTTTGAGAAAATCTGCTCGCATTGGGGATACCATGCACTAAGTCAAGAAACGCATGACAAGGGCCATAACTCTGTAACAAATTGTAACACGGTTTCCGTTTTCGAACTCCACCAAGGCATTCATGTCCTGAAAACACATACCAAATTTGGTTTCCGTATCTATTATCAGTGTCTGTCCCCTTCATATCAGATGGATGGACAGACAGATGGATGGAGCTCAAACCTATATCCCCCTCCCACTTCGTTGAGGGGGATAATACATTATAATAACGTAGCCCTAACAGAAACAATCATCAAATATTAACAGTACAATTGAGATTCACTTATTATTCACTGCACAGTGAAGGAACCAAGAATTGTCTTCACAAATATTCCATGGGTAAAACGTAATCCAGGTGACTGGCAAATACCATCAGCCCAATCTACCGTGCTGCCTACCTGGGCTTCATGGGAATCTCCCTTGTCTGTGGCAACAGCATCAGAGGAGTCTTTCACAAGGATGTTGTACTGGGTCTGTGCTTCCTCCAGTCTCTTCTGCTTCTGAGCTGTTTGGTGCCGCAGAGCATTGAGCTGCTTCATCGAATCGGATACTTTGTGGTCATAAATTATGATGGCCTCCTGTAGAGAAGCAGTAAAAATGTACGACTGGAAACATTCATAACAGTAAAACCTTTAGATATATTTAGAACTTATTCTATCTCACATATGGCATCTCCGCTAACTGTTTTTGACACTGAGTGGAAACAACATTAAGAATATGTATTCTTTACGTTCATGGACTAAAAAACACATCACCCAAACACAAACCATTCACAATGGACCCTTCCATAAGGCTATGCTCTATGTAGTTAGCAGATAGACAATATGTATGATGAAATATGTTTAAATATTTATTATTAATATAGTCTACATTAGTTATAAACAAAACAGTAACAGAATAAATTGTCCAAATTTCAGTCCAAAACATTACCTGTCTGAACAACTTCATGAAAACAAACACACATTAAATCATTCAACAGCATTTTGACAAGACACAACATGCTCAAGCCAGCTAAAAGGGATTCTACTGGGACAGTAGCAAAAGGTTACAGGGAGTGAGTGAGTGTTGGCCTAGTTAGCACTGCCTTTAGGAATATTCAAGCAAAGCAAGGGAATGCTAGAAATTTGCTCCAACTGTCTTCGGCATTAACAGCAAGTGCTATGCCACCAAATCCGTGAAATCGGAGACTAACACACCATAAGTACATAAAATGTTCTTCTCCAAAATCCCAGTGGGTAGATAGAGGTATGTGATACTTTGCATTGAAGAATATATGAACATATAGTCTAGAAGACAAACATGCTAGGAAAGCATATCACTTACCCTGCCTGTCCTGCCAGACAGGGCGGCTCTCATGACGGGTTTGTCATTGAGGGCTCTGTCGATAACATGTTCATCTTGCTGCAATACAAAACCAAAATCTGTCACACCAGTAAATATATCACATTTGGCACATACAAAAGAGTATCAGAAAAAAACACTTCCAAGAATTTACTTCCAAGTCATCTGGTCATTCTTTAAATATATATGATTTACTGAAATATGAATGCCAAGAAGATATTATTTTCCTTAAGTGGCATTTAGAAGCTTGTATGATGAAGTGGAACACTTTTTATGGCTAGACAACTTCTTTGTTGCAGTAGTAGTTGCGACGTTTCGGTGTAGATCATAACACCATTTTGCTTGATAACGGTGTTAGGATCTACACCGAAACGTTGCAACTACTACTGCAACAAAGAAGTTGTCTATCCATAAAAAGTGTTCCACTTCAAGATATTATTTCAATTACTACTGAAGAATTTGTTGCCCAGAATTTAGAAAGATGCAGTACCTTGAGTTTGTCGCTTCGTCTCTTTCTCAGCTCTGTTGTTTCTTTTCGGAGATTTGTAATATTATCTCGATTCTGTTTCATACAATACTGTGAGGATTCATAGTAAGCCTTTCGGTCACCCTCTGAAGCAAGTAATTGCATAATATTAATAAAATATTGTTGGGTAGAAATAGTGAGGGGAATGGATTCACGATCTTATGTTAGCTTTAGCATTTTAATGTAAGTATGTATGTCTTTCATTCCTAACAATAGAAATAAGGTGTGAATACCTCTACTTTCTGCCCCATTTTAAAAACACTGGTAAAGGTTGCCATATTAACTAACATTACTGTATTTAGCAATAATGTTTTGGGAAAACATTAATGGTAGCCTCATCAGTAACACACCAAAATGGAAGCAGGCTCCAATCCACATTGTCTTATGTGCAAAGGATGTAAAAGTAAAAGTTGAAAAAATTAAAATCCAGTAATCCTCATAAGGAAGGAACTCACACAAGATGGAAAGTTCCTGAGAAAAACACTTTCTTTACAGGAATTTCATTGAAATCTTGAATAAGTATATATTTGGGTGTTGGCCTAGTTAATGAAGTATGTCAATAAGAGACACCACTGTAGTGTTGTGTTGATACCAGACAATCCGTACCCATGGAGATTCGTACCTAACAAAAATGTTTAAGTCATACGAAAAATCCTCCTATGATTCATGCCTGTTTTGGAGCATTCGACATGTACCCACATTGAGATAACTCATACCCAAATTTGGATGATTCGTACCCATATTTGGATTGACAAAAAATAAGGGATTTTTCTTATAATATATCCATCACATATTCCAGCACATTGACAGTAATATATACCTGAAACAATTACTTTTCCAACATTCAATAATTATTCAATGCAATCTTACAATTTAGAGATGTTTTTGATGGTGTCGCGATGTGACAATGAAAGATGTCTGAACAGTCATTCCATCCACATTCTTGTAACATTAGCATTAATAATACCGAGTCAACTGAAATGGCTGAGGTGGCATATTGCTGTTTTAGTATTTAAATTATGTAGGATTGGAAGTTGGCGGGAGGAATACGTTTACGCAGTTGCATGATAGATACAATGGAAATAGTGGGCGGGTTTTCTGTCCAACTTATCAGATTTGTCTTGTTCTCAATATATTCTCTGAACTTTAGCCCATTCATATTGAATACATAGCTCACACACGCTAAAGACTATATTTCTATATCACACTCACTGTACACATTACTAATATAGTCAAAGTATGCGTTGGAAAAGCAACTAGCCTTCATATTAGTTCTCAGCACATATGCTGGACGCAAATGTCATGATCTTTCACATTATTCATTTACTTGTCATTTAACATGTACAAAATTACTAAAGATTACATTTACTGCATCGGATAGACATGGAAAGACACATATCGAATTAATGTTAAGACATGTCAAAGCACCAAATATATTTGTTTACAAATCACTAAGTCCTAAATAACGCTCACCCAACAAGGCGAGTTTAGCCTTTAGTTCTTCAATCTGTTCAGTTATAGGACGCTGTGCTAATGCGGCACCCCCAGGCATCTTGACAGCTGTTAGTTACGAGGTATTTCCTCAAATGATTCCTGTTCTGAACACCCTCTGTTTATCAGACTTGAGCAACTATTAACAACATGGACGATGCTGTAACCAAACGTTGCCAAGGTGCCCGATATCACGCATGCGTAATGCAGGAAGATATTAAAGGGAGGTAATTCTAATTTCATTGCAGGTGCGACAACTGTAAATTAATTAAAGGGGACGTAAAATACCTTCCACGCGACCTTTTTCATAACATACATTCGAAAAATATTTGAAAAACATTTTCGTTCGCACAGCTCCGAGGAAGAAGGACTGGTGAACAAGAAAAGGGTTAGGATGTTCACAATTGCTGATGAGTATTTTACTTGTGTTCAATGTTTTTATTTCAACAGGTGTAGGCCTCAGTTGTATGGATACACCAATAACGGGCAATATATAGATCACTTTTACCTTAAATGTGGTAAATATACCATAACATCAAAGTTTTTAAGAATGCTTTATTGATCAGAGATCTTTCTTCAAGGGGAGATAAGTAGGAAGCTTTTGGTCATAATCTTTACATGACAAATAATACATTACATTTCTAGTGGAGCTGTCTTAAATCATGGACATGTTGACAACTATGAAACACTTTTCATGGCACAATAACAACAAACACATAGATTTCCCTCTGTTTGTAACTCCTCGAGACGTTTCTTTTTCTACATTACAAGAGTGAGTGAGTGAGTATGGTTTTACGCCGCTTTTAGCAATATTCCAGCAATATCACGGCGGAGGACACCAGAAATGGGCTTCACACTTTATCCCATGTGGGGAATCGAACCCGGGGCTTCAGCTTGACGAGTAAACGCTTTAACCACTATGCTACCCCACCCCAACATCGTCATGGGCGGATCCAAGGGGGTAGTTCAGGGGGTTCGACCCATGAGATACTCTATCTAAGTAGTACAAGACATCAATGTCTCCACGCGCAAGTCTATGTTTCAGGGTGGACAGTTTTCTCTGGAGGTCTTGATACTTCTTTTTCTTTGTGGGCAGTCTCTGGCCGGCACTGTATTGCAACATTTTCAGTTCGTTAATGTTTTGCTCGTGCAACAGGAATTTCATCATCTCGAAAACGAGACACATCGACTGCCTGTTTGTTTACTGTTAACTGTTGGCGAGAGACAAACACTGACGGACGGCTTCTGTTAATTAATGGGTAAAAACCCAAAAAAAAACAAGAACCAACATGGACTAAACATACACCTTTGAAGCACATCCTTGGGACAGTGAGGGTAACTGGTTCGTGTCAGACTGACCAGACAAACGTTACCATACACAGGCCGACCCAAACCAAAACAAATCATAAAATATGGGTCTCAGTTGTCTATTTTGGGCATTAAAGTATATCGATTATTGGAATTATGAATAGATTTTGCACAAGGAAATTATTGCCTGGGGTCAGTACGAGTCGTCAAAGGATTCCGAAACGACGAGTAAGCAGACGAAGGATTGTAAATGGTCTTTTCATGACATATTTTTAGCGTGCATAATAGACAAAACGCATACACGTTTCTATGTTTCTGAATACAGTTATTTTTTCTTTGGTAGAACTGATACATGTCTATAAAAAACAGTTGTAGTATTTAAATAAGTTGATAAATAAATTCACTTTTTCGTTAGACTTGACCGAAGTAGACGAAAACTCTGTGAGTCACATATATTTTACGCCCTTAATGGTAAAGTATTTCAGAATAATAATCGATCGTTCTATAAGACGACTGAAATGCCATAAAACTATTCAGCTCCCAAAACGGATCCTTTGTTTCTGCTTTTTAAGAAACTAATGGTTTACCCGGTATAGGCGCCAGTCTCACTCTCCACCTACAATAACCCCTTCCTCGTGGACGGAGTGTGCCCGCCATTGCTTATATCCAGCTTGCCGGAAGTAGGCGTTGATACCATAGTGCTTATGATGTACATGGTAGTAGGCCTATACATTATATTTTATTCATATAGTCAACGGGTGTTGATATCAGCCGATACCCAACATCGACATGGGACCTATCACCATGACAAGGGCAGATAACTGAGCGCATATAATAAACACACGTGAAGAATAAATAAATAATAAAATAAAGTTAATATTTGTATAGCGCCTGTTCCAACATACTGCACAAAGGCGCTTAGGCGAAGGCTATGTTGAACAAGTGGGTTTTCAGTTGTCAAATTTAAACTGGTAGAGATAGACAATGTTCTGAATGTGTCGAGGAAGACGGTTCCAGAGCCAGTGACTGGCTTTGGAGAGCGATCTATCCCCATAGTGTGTTTTCCTGGTCATAGGAACATCAAGTGCTCTTGATGATCTTGACCTGAGATCTCTCCTTGGAGTGTAGATGGATATGAGTTCACTGATGTACTCAGGAGATAGACCATGCAGCGATTTGAAGACAAACACCAGGATCTTGAACTGTATACGCTGTCTCACTGGTAGCCAGTGGAGATCTTGTAAGACCGGGGGGATGTGATTTCGACGTCTGGTGTTGGTGATTATTCTGGCAGCAGTGTTGTGTACTCTCTGGAGCCTGTCGATCAGTAGTCTATGCGAGACGTGACAAACGCATTAACTAGAGTCGTGACTGCAGCCGTACCAATATGCTTCTTGATCAAGCTGATGTTTCTTAGATGGTAGTTGCATGACCTGCATACAGCATCGATGTGTCGCTCAGATGACAAGGATGACTCAACAACCATTCCTTGCTAACATCACAGTCACCAAGTTTCAGTGGTTGGAACTGAAAGTTTGAAAGCAAAGATTTGGATCAGAAGCAAAAAAAATCAGAATAGAAAATCACGACAGTTGTATGAAAGTGTCCCTCTGCGGATATAGTAGATGAGTTGGTGAATCGGGTGTAATCACTGACGCTCTGAACAGTATTTTAGACCGCCCAAGATGTATCAGCTTGCCGTGGGAGTAACGCTGCAAGGTAAAAAAGTCGTACCACTCTGGTGAACCAACAGAACACTTTTGTGGTGTATTGGTAGGGTGCAGACGACCAACAGAACACTTTTGTGATGTATTGTAAGGGTGCAGACGACCAACAGAACACTTTTGTGGTGTATGGGAAGGGTGCAGACTACCAACAGAACACATTTGTGGTGTATTGCAAGGGTGCAGACGACCAACACAACACTTTTGTGGTGTATTGCAAGGGTGCAGACGACCAACACAACACTTTTGTGGTGTATTGCAAGGGTGCAGACGACCAACAGAACACATTTGTCTTGTATTGTAAGGGTGCAGACGACCAACAGAACAATTTTGTGGTGTATTGCAAGGGTGCAGACGACCAACACAACACTTTTGTGGTGTATTGTAAGGGTGCAGACGACTAACACAACACTTTTGTGGTGTATTGGTAGGGTGCAGACGACCAACAGAACACTTTGTGGTGTATTGTTGTAAAGGGTGCAGACGACCAACACAACACTTTTGTGGTGTATTGGAAGGGTGCAGACGACCAACACAACACTTTTGTGGTGTATTGTAAGGGTGCAGACGACCAACAGAACACTTTTGTGGTGTATTGGAAGGGTGCAGACGACCAACAGAACACATTTGTGGTGTATTGGAAGGGTGCAGACGACCAACACAACACTTTTGTGGTGTATTGACGACCAGACAGGACACATTTGTGGTGTATTGGAAGGGTGCAGACGACCAACACAACACTTTTGTGGTGTATTGTATGGTGGTGTATTGTAACACTTTTTGTGGTGTATTGGTAGGGTGCAGACGACCAACACAACACTTTTGTGGTGTATTGGTAGGGTGCAGACGACCAACAGAACACTTTTGTGGTGTATTGGTAGGGTGCAGACGACCAACACAACACTTTTGTGGTGTAAGGGTGGTGTATTGTACCCACAGAACACTTTTGTGGTGTATTGTAAGGGTGCAGACGACCAACACAACACTTTTGTGGTGTATTGGTAGGGTGCAGACGACCAACAGAACACTTTTGTGGTGTATTGGAAGGGTGCAGACGACCAACAGAACACTTTTGTGGTGTACTGTAAGGGTGTAGACGACCAACACAACACTTTTGTGGTGTATTGGAATGGTGCAGACGACCAACAGAACACTTTTGTGATGTACTGTAAGGGTGCAAACGACCAACAGATTTCGAAGATTCCACACACTAAACACCATAGCTTCTGGTTGGAATGAGTCATTGTGTTCACGGCGGTACATCCGGTCACCTATTATGCAGACAGTTTCATACGTCAGCCAAGCAATGTGAACACCTGTGGCCGAGTGTTTCATACGTCATTGGCTGTTTTAGGCCCAGATGTTCTGAAGCCTTTTTGTGATTTATCCATCACTTGTGCTGTCTTGCTCTAAAGTCTTCAAAATTTGGACTCAGAAACTTAGTCTCTGAATATATATGATTTTAAGAGAAACAAGCAATTCCTTTTAACCCACTTGCAATGTTTTGGGTGTGTTGGCATGTTCACTTATTGTTCAGAAAGGGTTCTATCTCTAGCAGTCATTTTTCCCAGCTCATGTTTCTTCTGGTGCTCCATAATAACACTGACATTTCATTTTATCAACACTGAATGACACTTGCTTTATTTAGATTGATAAGATTTTATGAGAGTGGTTCCTCAATGAATTTCCACTTGGGCAGATGACATAGCTGCCCTGGTTTGATTGCATGATAGTGGGAAGTTTGCCATTGACATCATCCATGTAATAACTCAGTGAGCAGTGGTGTAGGCGTCACATGACCTCAGTGAGAATTGGGTGTAGGCGTCACATGACCTCTATGAGAAGTGGGTGTAGGTGTCACATGACCTCGGTGAGAATTGGGTGTAGGTGTCACATGACCTCGGTGAGAATTGGGTGTAGGTGTCACATGACCTCAGTGAGAATTGGGTGTAGGTGTCACATGACCTCAGTGAGAAGTGGGTATAGGTGTCGCATGACCTTGGTGAAGTCTCTAGGTGTTGCATGACCTTGGTAAAAAGTGGGAGTGTGTGTCGCATGACCTCAGATAACAGAATATATTGCAAGATATAACACAAAACACTCAATGTATACTTATTTCATTTTAATATCTTGATATTATACAAAGAATTATCATAAAACACCTGATCAACAAACAAAAGCCCATTACAAAAACGGTGTCCTCGGCCTCAAGTAAATAGAATCAACTGTAACTGACAGCTATTTACAAACTGCCTCCATAAATAACCTCCATATCCTGTAAATATCTTAAACTGCTAGAAATAGGTGAGCAGGATTTTACATTACTGTTAGCAATATCCCAGCAATATTTAGCCCACTTCAAACACTTTTCTTGTGAAGTGACAATACAAATATGCCATGACCTTCTAAAACATTTCTGTATTACTATAGTATTTATTTAACAACACTGACACCAGTATGAACAGGCTGTAGCATGACACAAACACTTTAACAATAAATACAGCTTACTACATATTGCACTTTCCTACCAAGCAGCTACCAAACACAGAACAAAGACCATTTACCACTTTAACCCACTACCTCTGATAGCAAGCATGACCGACAAAACGCTGGTAAAAAATTGTTCATGCTAATTTATAGGGCTGCAACAATTCAGTTTGATTCATCGAAAATCGGATCTGACACCTTAGTTTCGATTTTCGATAACCATTATCACTATTTCGATTCGATATTTGAATACCTACAGGTACTTAAATTTTTCCACACAGCTAGAACATAATTTTGACTCCAACTCGAGCGCTGAAATAAGGCGAAACGTGACTGGTTGACACCGGGTTAATTATCCAAAGAATTGTTGCTAGCAGACATCGCCAAGTTGACGATGGATTTCACGCTAAAAAAGCTGACTCTGAGAGTTAACTGAAATCTGATGTTTTTACTTGTATGAAGTATCTAATCGAAAATGATCGAATCAAATTCCAATATCGAAAATCAAATCGAATCGAGGTCTGGGTTAATCATTGCAGTACTAATTTAATGTATAAGTGGTCACTGCTGGTCACTGATGGCCGGTTGACCTCACAGGGCCCTGCTCCGTCAGGCTATACTCATGTTCTCCCAATATACCTTATTCATATAGATTATCACAACCTCATATATCATGAACCTGGTGTACATTACACTAAAACATGCTTATAAGCAGTGTAGGCAGCCAGGTATGTTGTAGGTAGTATGTTCAATATGGGCACTCATAGAATATTCTCACCAAAGATTTAAATTTACAAGGATGCCAATTTCAACAAGACAACTGTTAAAAATACTACGTCTTTCAAAATACATGTCATGAAATATGCCCAAGAATGTTTCAGTTGTCGTCATTGGTAACTATATACATGTAAAATATTTCCCTACATGATTTGATCATGTTAATAGTTAGTCATGGAGGTTCATATATCTATATTATAAAAATCATCAGTTGTTTTGAATCTAAAAGAGATTATTTCATGACATTAACCATCATCATCTGTGGAATAGTTGCATTTAGGAACCATTTAGATAAAACACCATACTGGTTTTCATTTTGTTTGTATTTTCATTTCTCCACAAATCTCATGACTTAGCACTATTGACAAGAATGATGTTTTTCTTCACTGAGACACATCTAGCTGGCACAGACCCACTTGGAGACTTCTCCGGAGATATTGGTAGCAACCTCTTCCCGCGACCTGGTGATATTGTCCACTTATCGGCACTGATGAACTTTGACACATTCTCCATGAGAGAGGTCGTTGCAGAGCTCACTTCCTGTCCAGCATATTCTAACTGTTCGGCTTGAGAGTCCGAGAGAACAGACATCTCTTCAAGGTCAGACTCTGAATCCTTCAGAGGTTGTCTTCCTGCAGAGCTCAGCAGCCTTGTAGAAGCCTTCTGTATGAGCTCTGCACATCGGTACACCCTCCGGACATCACCGCCACTGCTCTCTGTAATGTCAATCAGAAATAGAACTTCCACCTGTCAAGACAGATCTATACAAAAGGACAGGTTGTGTCTACCAAACACCAGGTGTCTAACACAAGTACAGGTCACAAAGTCAAGGTGCATCCATCAGAAACAAAGTGTCTTACCTCTAACAATGGATCAGAGGTCCAGACAAAGATGCATATGACACCCGGTGTCTTACTATCTGACACAGAGTCAGCCTTCTGAATGTGTCGACCAAACACAAGGTGTCATACCTTTTAAAACTGAAACAGCTGACAAACCAAGACTAGTTATGTATACAGACACCAGGTGTTCTACACTACACTGTAATACTGAAACAGCTGAGAAACCAAGACTAGTCGTGTCAATCAGACACCAGGTGTCCTACACTACACTGTAATACTGAAACAGCTGAGAAACCAAGACTAGTCGTGTCAATCAGACACCAGGTGTCCTACACTACACTGTAATACTGAAACAGCTGACAAACCAAGACTAGTCGTGTCAATCAGACACCAGGTGTCCTACACTACACTGTAATACTGAAACAGCTGAGAAACCAAGACTAGTTGTGTCAATCAGACACCAGGTGTCCTACACTACAAGGTAATACTGAAACAGCTGAGAAACCAAGACAAGTTGTGCCAATCAGACACCAAGTGTCCTACACTACAAGGTAATACTGAAACAGCTGAGAAACCAAGACTAGTTGTGCCAATCAGACACCAAGTGTCCTACACTACAAGGTAATACTGAAACAGCTGAGAAACCAAGACTAGTCGTGTCAATCAGACACCCGGTGTCCTACACTACACTGTAATACTGAAACAGCTGAGAAACCAAGACTAGTCGTGTCAATCAGACACCAAGTGTCCTACACTACACTGTAATACTGAAACAGCTGAGAAACCAAGACTAGTCGTGTCAATCAGACACCAGGTGTCCTACACTACACTGTAACAGACACGACTAGTCTTGGTTTCTCAGCTGTTTAATAGTCTAGTGTAGGACACCTGGTGTCTGATTGACACGACTAGTCTTGGTTTATCAGCTGTTTCAGTATTACAGTGTAGTGTAGGACACTTGGTGTCTGATTGACACTAGTCTTGGTTTCTCAGACTAGTCTTGGTTTCTCAGCTATCAGACACCGGGTGTCTTAGATTGTAACACTGAAACAGCTGACTGGACAAGGAAAGTTGTATATCAAACAACAAGGTGTCTTACCTTCCCATTCAGCTGACAGAATGAGAAAAGCTGTCCACTGAACACCAGGTTACATTATAACAGATATTGTAGACCGAACAAGATAAGTTGTTTACAAGACACCAGGTGTCACTTTTTTTACAACTGGAACATCAGTGTAAGGAGGAAAACTGGTTATATATCAGACATCACGTGGCTGTTTCACGAAGTCATCGCCGCGCTACGATTGTCGTAGTTCCCACACCTTAACATGGACTTACGCCTGCCGTAGTGCAACGATCGCTTTGTGAAATGGATCCAAGGTGATTTTACTTTCTGACACTGGTTCATCTAGCTTAAATTGTATACCAGACACCAGGTGTTTTACCTTCTAATACGGACACAGCCGACTGAACAAGGAGACTGGTTGTGTCCACCAAACTGTTGATATGGGACAGGAGGGCCTGGGATCGTCTAAAGCTTGTGTGGTAGAAGTGTGGTGAGTGAGCATCAGAACTGTCACGCATGCTTGTGTCCAGCTCAATCTGAAAATGAAAATAGTATTAATACTTATCTAACTGCATTACAAGTATCAGTACTGACATTTATAATCTGATAAAATTCATCATAACACAAAACAACTTATTTTGCATAAAACAAAAGAATTGTCAATTTAGATCCCATCCATTCTGCAAAACAAAGCTTATTCCCTTTTTATTATTCTGTCACCGAATGTCTTTAGCTTATGCTCTGTATCCATTTTTCCCCTTTAATTCTCCCATAACCACTGTTCAGTCTAAATTCATGTAAAGAACAATAGATACCTGAATTTCTTGGCACTTCTGAAGCAAAACTTTGTTGATGGAAACAACGATTTCTACATGCTGGGGTAGATCACCATATTTCTGAAACAACAAGTCAACTTGGACAGTGAGTATGCTCCACACTGCAAGAAGGTATCACAACACTTCTTCATGGAACATCATTTCCTTATACAAAGCTAAGTATCTTTTGAAGCATGTGTCACCTTATTTGAACCAAGGGAGTGAGTGTGTGTTGCGACATTTTAACAATATTCGTCTGTAAACATGGCATGAATGAGGAACACAAAGACAAGATGGCGGACGTACCAGACTTTTGACTGCCTTATCTGCCAGTGTCTGGGCTTGACACTCGGTCTCCTCGAGGGACTGAACGCCATCCTGGAGAGACCTGTCTACATACGAGTCTCCCCCAGACAGGAACGCCTGGCAGATGTCATGAGCCAGCTGAGAACAATCATCATCATCATCGTCATCATTTCATCATCATCATCATCATCATCATCATCATTTCAGTAAAATCATCATCATCAGTATCATTTCAGTAAACAATCATCATCATCATCATCATCATCATCATCATCATCATCACCATCATCATAAACATCATCATCATCATCATCACCATCAGTAAACAATCAGTCATCATTTCATCAAACAATCATCATCATTTCAGTAAACAATCATCATCATCATCATCATCATCATCATCATCATCATTTCAGTAAACAATCATCATCATCATCATCTGTAAATAATTATCATCATCATCGTAATAATTATCATCATCATCATTTCATAATTATCATCATCATCATCATAATCATCATCATCATCATCATCATCTTCATTCACATCATCATCATCATCTCCACAGCAGCAGGAGGCTTTGTCTGGAATCGAGTCAGTATAACTTTACCTCTGTGGAACAGAAATATATGACAATTTCTATTGAAAATTCCTGAGACTTTTTATATGAACACAGATACTGTCCTGACAATACCTACAAGGAGCATTACCTGCTGTTGTCTATGATCCCCTTGGACATCAAGTGATGTCATGTGAGTGTCCGTGACCAGTGCAAGCTCCCCACACTGCCGACACATCTTGATGACACTGTCGATGATCTTCGTCCCCGACTCTTGAATCATACTACGTAGTTCATTTTCACAACCCTGCAGGGAAACAAACATATTTCCATGTGTTTAGCTATCCTTCTTTAGTTAGTAGCAGAATATTTGCTATGATTAGATTAATTTGATATTCAAGTAAAGGGAGATAATCTGTGTGAAATTAGGGACAAATTGTGTGGAGGTTTTAACTGCTACTGCCATGAAACCTACATCATCATCAGAATACCTCTCCATCATCAGATTCTCAATCCATCATCAGATTCCCACTCCACTACTCCATCATCAGATTCCCACTCCATCATAAGATTCCCACTCCATTACTCCATCAGATTCCCACTCCACTCCATCATCAGATTCCCGCTCCATCATCCCATCAGATTCCCACTCCACTACTCCATCATAAGATTCCCACTCCACTACTCCATCATCAGATTCCCACTCCATCATCAGATTCCCACTCCACTACTCCATCATCAGATTCCCACTCCACTACTCCATCATCAGATTCCCACTCCACTCCATCCATCATCAGATTCCCACTCCACTACTCCATCATCAGATTCCTGCTCCATCATCAGATTCCCGCTCCATCATCCCATCATCAGATTCCCACTCCACTCCACTCCATCATCAGATTCCCACTCCAATCAGATTCCCACTCCATTCCCCATTCCCACTCCACTCACAGATTCCATCATCAGATTCACACTCCATCATCAGATTCCCACTCCAACAACTCCATCATCAGATTCCAACAACCCACTCCATCATCAGATTCCCACTCCATCCACTCCCCTCCATCATCAGATTCCAGCTCCATCATCAGATTCCAGCTCCATCATCAGATTCCCGCTCCATCATCAGATTCCCACTCAACCACTTCATCATCAGATTCCGCTCCATCATCAGATTCTGGCTCCATCATCAGATTCCGGCTCCATCATCAGATTCCGGCTCCATCATCAGATTCCAGCTCCATCATCAGATTCCCACTCCATCAGATTCCGGCTCCATCATCAGATTCTGGCTCCATCATCAGATTCAGGCTCCATCATCAGATTCCGACTCTATCATCAGATTCCCACTCAACCACTCCATCATCAGATTCCCGCTCCACTACTCCATCATCAGATTTCCATTCCACTACTCCACCATCAGATTCCCACTCCATCATCAGATTCCCACTCCATCATCAGATTCCCACTCCACTACTCCATCATCAGATTCCCACTCCATCATCAGATTCCCATTCCACTACTCCACCATCAGATTCCCGCTCCATCATCAGATTCCCACTCCATCATCAGATTCCCACTCCATCATCAGATTCCCACTCAGATTCCCACTCATCATCAGATTCCCACTCCATCATCAGATTCTCCAGATTCTTCCATCATCAGATTCCCACTCACCCATCATCAGATTCCCACTCCACTACATCAGATCCAGATTCCCAATCATCAGATTCCCTCCCATCATCAGATTCCGCTCCATCATCAGATTCCCACCCATCATCAGATTCCGGCTCCATCATCAGATTCCCATTCCATTCCACTCACGATTCCCACCATCAGATTCCCACTCAACCACTCCATCATCAGATTCCCACTCAACCACTCCATCATCAGATTCCCATTCCACTACTCCACCATCAGATTCCCACTCCATCATCAGATTCCCACTCAACCACTCCATCATCAGATTCCCACTCTCAGATTCATCATCAGATTCCCTCAACTCCATCATCAGATTCCTGCTCCATCATCAGATTCCCGCTCCATCATCAGATTCCCACTCCATCATCAGATTCCCATTCCACTACGGTCCATCATCAGATTCCCACTCCATCATCAGATTCCCACTCAACCACTCCATCATCAGATTCCCATTCCACTCAGATCCACCATCAGATTCGGCTCCATCATCAGATTCCCACCCCCATCATCAGATTTCCCACTTCCATCATCAGATTCCCACCCATCATCAGATTCCCACTACATCAAAGCATGACATATACATTCAGGTTAGAAATGTTGCCACTTCCATTTAAACCTCACAAAATGTCTCACCATCATGATAACAACATAATAATTTTATTAAAGTTTGCTTTGGTACAGATGAAAATGTTTGGAAGTTGTTTATTTGAGTGGAACATCCATATGTTAAGTAGTTATCAAATCACAGAGCATAAAACACTACACAATTTTACTACTTTACAGAATCCTCATATTTTCAAGTTCGTAGTAATTGGGGTTCTTCTGGTCCCTCGCTTTTGTTGGTTAAGGTAAAACCCTGCTTTCACCTGTATAAACATTGCAACATGGCAGCTGACTGTCCGAGCTGAGACACTAGGCGCTGTAGCAGCTCTGTGAGGTTGGACAACCCCACCCTCAGACGGCTGCCCCACAGACTGCAAGCTGTCGACAGCTGCTGCAGACACCCGACCAGCTGCAGCAGGTGTCTCTCCTGGCTGTACAACTCATCTGTAACACAGAGTTAGTCAGGGGAGGCGTTTGTTGTATACATGTATACATGTTGTATCTCAGTTCAATACAAGTTGTATCCCAGAAATATACATGTCTTATCTGAGTTGGATGGTTTGTGGCAGTATTCTAGCTATATGGTGGCAGTCTGTAAATAATCGATTCTGGACCAGACAAGTCAGTGATCAACAGCATGAGCATCGATCTATGCAATTGGGATATGATGACATGTGTCAACCAAGTAAGCGAGTCTGAACACCCGATCCTGTTAGTCGCCTTTTATGACAAGCATGGTTTGCTGAAGACCAATTCTAACCCAGATTTCCACGGGTACTTGTCTGAGTTGTATACATGCTACAGTTATGTTGTATACTTGTATTTTAGTTCTACAGGTGTTGTATTTTAGTTGTACCATGAAACCGTTGTAAACATGTTGTATCTCAGTTGTACATATGCATGTTATATATACATGTTGTATCTCAGTGAATGCGTATAATACCTCTGATGTATAATGTCAGATCTCAATTGTATATTATGTCTCAGTTGTATATTATGTCTCAGTTGTATATTATGTCTCATTTGCATATTATGTCTCAATTGTATATTATGTCTCAGTTGTATATTATGTCTCAGTTGTATATTATGTCTCAATTGTATATTATGTCTCAGTTGTATATTATGTCTCAGTTGTATATTATGTCTCAATTGTATATTATGTCTCAGTTGTATATTATGTCTCAATTATATATTATGTCTCAATTGTATATTATGTCTCAGTTGTATATTATGTCTCAATTGTATATTATGTCTCAGTTGTATATTATGTCTCAGTTGTATATTATGTCTCAATTGTATATTATGTCTCAGTTGTATATTATGTCTCAATTGTATATTATGTCTCAGTTGTATATTATGTCTCAGTTGTATATTATGTCTCAATTGTATATTATGTCTCAGTTGTATATTATGTCTCAGTTGTATATCATGTCCTCAGTTGTATATTATGTCTCAGTTGTATATTATGTCTCAGTTGTATATTATGTCTCAAATCATCAGATTCCCACTCCATCAGATTCCCACTCCATCATCAGATTCCCACTCAACCACTTCATCATCAGATTCCCACTCCATCATCAGATTCCCACTCCACTACTCCATCATCAGATTCCTACTCCATCATCAGATTCCCACTCCATCATCAGATTCCCGCTCCATCATCAGATTCCCCCTCAGCCACTTCATCATCAGATTCCCACTCCATCATCAGATTCCCACTTCATCATCGGATTCTCACTCCATCATCAGATTCGCACTACATCAAAGCATGACATATACGTTCAGGTTAGAAATGTTGCCACTTCCATTTAAACCTCACAAATGTCTCACCATCTAGATAACAACTCCATACTTTTATTAAAGTTTGCTTTGGTACAGATGAAAATGTTTGGAAGTTGTTTATTTGAGTGGAACATGCATATGTTAAGTAGTTATCAAATCACAGAGCATAAAACACTACACAATTTTACTACTTTACAGAATCCTCATATTTTCAAGTTCGGTAGTAATTGGGGTTCTTCTGGGTCCCTCGTTTTGTTGGTTAAGGTAAAACCCTGCTTTCACCTGTATAAACATTGCAACATGGCCGCTGACTGTCCGGAGCTGAGACACTAGACGCTGTAGCAGCTCTGTGAGGTTGGACGACCCACACCCCTCGTACGGCTGCGCCCACAGACTGCAAGCTGTCGACAGCTGCTGCAGACACACGACCAGCTGCAGCAGGTGTCTCTCCTGGCTGTACAACTCATCTGTAACACAGACAGTTAGTCAGGGGAGGCTTTGTTGTATACATGTATACATGTTGTATCTCAGTTCAATACAAGTTGTATCCCAGAAATATACATGTCTTATCTGAGTTGGATGGTTTGTGGTTGTTAAACGCTACACTCAGCAGTATTCTAGCTATATGGTGGCAGTCTGTAAATAATCGATTCTGGACCAGACAAGTCAGTGATCAACAGCATGAGCATCGATCTATGCAATTGGGATATGATGACATGTGTCAACCAAGTAAGCGAGTCTGAACACCCGATCCTGTTAGTCGTCTTTTATGACAAGCATGGTTTGCTGAAGACCAATTCTAACCCAGATTTCCACGGGTACTTGTCTGAGTTGTATACATGCTACAGTTATGTTGTATACTTGTATTTTAGTTCTACAGGTGTTGTATTTTAGTTGTACCATGAAACCGTTGTAAACATGTTGTATCTCAGTTGTACATATGCATGTTATATATACATGTTGTATCTCAGTGAATGCGTATAATACCTCTGATGTATAATGTCAGATCTCAATTGTATATTATGTCTCAGTTGTATATTATGTCTCAGTTGTATATTATGTCTCATTTGCATATTATGTCTCAGTTGTATATTATGTCTCAATTATATATTATGTCTCAATTGTATTGTCTCTCAGTTGTATATTATGTCTCAATCACCATCAGGTCCTCCTGTGGATATCCATGATATTATGCTAAGATAGACAGTTGTAAGGTCAATGACAACTGCACAGAATCTTATGTCTCAGTTGTATATTATGTCAAAACTCTCTTGTAGTGCACTTCCTGTATTGGACAAATTGAACATGTGTCATGAGCCTTGATATCACATCTGCCGTGGAATCAGAACTCAACAAAGGTTGTTCTCCACATCTTGTCAGACCTTGTAGTGCCTTCCTGTATTGGACAAAGAACACACCTCACAGTCCTCAACAATTGACATTAGATTTGGACCTTCCTTCTCACAGTCCACACTTAACCAACAATCTGAGGACATCCCATGTGTCAAGTCGACTAACAGAAAGTCAATATTAGCCAGTCAGAAAGCAGCAATGTCAAGTTCTTCTGTACTTGTTTCAAAATGGTGACTTCCATACCAGATTTTTGAAAATATTTGGAAAATGTCTTTGAATCAAATGTTGAAATGTCTAATGGCTGAGATTGTATGACTGTCCCTCCCTCGGTGTTGGTTACTGTCATACAGAATCTCTCATGTCAACTGTATTAAGGTTTCATGATCATAAAACACATTCCGACTTGATAATGGAATTATTGATTTGTCAGATGAAAGGTCATTCTAACATAACCTACAATGGTCACTTTTTCTAGTGGCAGTAAGTTGTAAGATCTAGGTTGAGTGATTTAAAACCCTACCTCACGCTGACACTATTTCAGCATATAGTGAGTAGAAAGGTCAGATTTTACGTTGATAGGTCCCTGACCCAGTGTACACTGTACCAGCAATGAACAAAGTATCACCATGACTACCAGTGAGTGAGTGAGTGAGTTTAGTTTTAACCCGGACCTTCACGGGTCGCCATGACTACCAAGTGATATAGTGGTTGACAGAATGTTACCTGAATGTTTGTCTGTGATCCGTGCTACAAGGTCCTTGCACTGCCGGGAAACATCAGCCAGGCTGAAATGGTTGCCCACAGATCCAAGAGACACTGGAGATGAATATCAGAATGAATGTCTTTGTGTAGAAATGAAACGAAATGTTTCAATAGTATTATATGTATCTGTCTGAGCATGGTTGATAATAAGACGTTATTACATCTTTCAAGACGACCATATCACCCCAAGGGCCCGAGGGCCGATATGGTAGTCGAGGGCTGATATGACTGGCAAAAGGGAAACTGTCATATCATAACCTCTTTATCACATATCTGTAAATATTGAAACTGTCAAAAAATGTAAAGTCCATGATTCTGCTGGCAAGAGCAGTCAAAACATCATCGCCAAAATTAGAACTCATACTTCCACCATTTCTTGATGAACAGCAACTAAAGCAAACGACACAAGGGACCTTACTCTAAAATAAACGAGACTCCATCTATTGAAGTTTCGAGTGTTTGCGTGCATTCATTCTGTACTAGTCTTATAGCCAGGCAATACGGCTGAAATGGATTTTCTGCCGTAGGGCTGTTATGGCTTATGTGCATTTTTTGGCCCGGGTGGTCAATATGAACATATACCGTCAGCCAGTATTGCATGTGCAAAATGGTCCATATTATTCACAGGTATATACTAATATTCATGAGGACATCCTGACACATGATAACATGCTACATTAAGGGCATTTACCAGGTATATTTGTTAGGGTTATCACATTGATGACACCATCGATTATATGGTAAATGTCTTCCTTATACTTACATCTTTTGTATGTATAGCTGCTGCTACTGCTGAGCTGGGAGGACCGGCAGGAGGACAGAGGACTCCGGTGGTAGCCAGCCATGCTGCACAGGAGGACACAAATCAGTGAAAGTGGATCAGGTGGTCACAGGAATGTGGATATGGGTCATAGAGGTGGTGAATGTAGGTCACAGAGGTGAAGGTCAGCTGCAGTAAGGTGACAGGAATGTGCAGGTGGGTCACAGTGGTGAAGGTCAGCTGCAGGTGGGTGACAGGTAAGGTGAAGGTCGGTCACAGAGGTGAAGGTCAGCTGCAGGTGGGTGACAGGTAAAGTAAATGTGGGACACAGAGGTGAAGGTCAGCTACAGGTGGGTGACAGGTAAAGTAAATGTGGGACACAGAGGTGAAGGTCATGTGCAGGTGGGTGACAGGTTAAGTAAATGTGGGACACAGAGGTGAAGGTCAGCTGCAGGTGGGTGACAGGTAAAGTAAATGTGGGACACAGAGATGAAGGTCAGCTGCAGGTGGGTGACAGGTAAAGTAAATTTAGGACGCAGAGATGAAGGTCAGCTGCAGTTGAGTGACAGGTAAAGTAAATGTGGGACACAGAGATGAAGTTCAGGTGCAGGTGGGTGACAGGTAAAGTAAATGTGTGACACAGAGATGAAGGTCAGCTGCAGGTGGGTGACAGGTAAAGTAAATGTGGGACACAGAGATGAAGGTCAGCTGCAGGTGGGTGACAGGTAAAGTAAATGTGGGACACAGAGATGAAGGTCAGGTGCAGGTGGGTGACAGGTAAAGTAAATGTGGGACACAGAGGTGAAGGTCAGCTGCAGGTGGGTGACAGGTAAAGTAAATGTGGGACACAGAGGTGAAGGTCAGGTGCAGGTGGGTGACAGGTAAAGTAAATGTGGGACACAGATGAAGGTCTGCTGCAGTTGAGTGACAGGTAAAGTAAATGTGGGACACAGAGGTGAAGTTATGGTGCAGGTGGGTGACAGGTAAAGTGTAGGTGGGTCACAGAGATGAAGGTCAGCTGCAGGTGGGTGACAGGTAAAGTAAATGTGGGACACAGAGATGAAGTTCAGGTGCAGGTGGGTGACAGGTAAAGTGTAGGTGGGTCACAGAGATGAAGGTCAGGTGCAGGTGGGTGACAGGTAAAGTAAATGTGGGACACAGAGGTGAAGGTCAGCTGCAGGTGGGTGACAGGTAAAGTAAATGTGGGGCCTTGAGAGATGAAGGTCAGCTGCAGGTGGGTGACAGGTAAAGTAAATGTGGGACACAGAGAGTGAAGGTCAGCTGCAGGTGGGTGACAGGTAAAGTAAATGTGGGACACAGAGATGAAGGTCAGCTGCAGGTGGGTGACAGGTAAAGTAAATGTGGGACACAGAGATGAAGGTCAGCTGCAGGTGGGTGACAGGTAAAGTAAATGTGGGACACAGAGGTAAAGTTATGGTGCAGGTGGGTGACAGGTAGAGTAGGGTGGGTCACAGAGATGAAGGTCTGCTGCAGGTGGGTGACAGGTAAAGTAAATGTGGGACACAGAGGTGAAGTTCAGGTGCAGGTGGGTGACAGGTAAAAGTAAATGTGGGTCACAGAGATGAAGGTCAGGTGCAGGTGGGTGACAGGTAAAAGTAAATGTGGGACACAGAGGTGAAGAAGGTCAGCTGCAGGTGGGTGACACAGGTAAAAGTAAATGTGGGACACAGAGATGAAGGTCTGCTGCAGTTGGTGACAGGTAAAAGTAAAGTGGGACACAGAGGTGAGATTATGGTGCAGGTGGGTGACAGGTAGAGTGTAGGTGGGTCACAGAGATGAAGGTCTGCTGCAGGTGGGTGACAGGTAAAGTAAATGTGGGACACAGAGGTGAAGTTCAGGTGCAGGTGGGTGACAGGTAAAGTAAATGTGGGTCACAGAGATGAAGGTCAGCTGCAGGTGGGTGACAGGTAAAGTAAATGTGGGACACAGAGGTGAAGGTCAGCTGCAGGTAGGTGACAGGTAAAGTGTAGGTGGGTCACAGAGATGAAGGTCAGGTGCAGGTGGGTGACAGGTAAAGTAAATGTGGGACACAGAGATGAAGGTCAGCTGCAGGTGGGTGACAGGTAAAGTGTAGGTGGGTCACAGAGATGAAGGTCAGGTGCAGGTGGGTGACAGGTAAGGTGAATGTGGGACACAGAGGTCAAGGTCATGTGCAGGTGGGTGACAGGTAAAGTGTAGGTGGGTCACAGAGGTGAAGGTCTAGTGGATGTGGATGGATGTGTGTCACAGGGGTAGGTTAAAAAAGGGTATAGTATTGAATTAGGGCATTAGGCTAATGCCGTCAGTTCGAAATGAATTCCCGTGCTTCAAATACTCAATAAAACCCGGACATTGGCCAACACATGATGTTTATCAACATTGTAAACATGAAAGTAAACCAAAAGGTCCACACTTTTTTGTGTCTGAACTTGACATCGAGTACGGGTACAGCAGTGAAATATCATCAGCCAGCCGTTTCGGCTGTCTCCCATTGTAGCATCTCGAACTGCTCGTTTATGACGTAATTCGTAATAATTTGATTTGAATGACGTCACCACTGCTGACGACGTAACAATACAATGGTGTGTGCGATGGGTGTATGTATTAATAAGCAGCAAATGGTCTTGCAATTTCCTGGAATCAAATACCATTCGATCATGTTTTTCAACCAATCAGATTAAAGAACACAGTGACTTTTGGTTTACAATAAATGCTCAGAAACAAATTGCACCATTAATCCTTTTCAATCTGAAATTCAATATGAATGTGATGCACATTTATTACATGCAGACATCCAAATGTTACATATATCCCTGACTGCATTTCTCCATACAAATGTTACATATATCCCTGACTGCATTTTTATCCATACAAATGTTACATATATCCCTGATTGCATTTCTCCATACAAAGCCACACTAAATCTAACACCATTCTTGACACATTATCCCGTGTAATAAACAAACTTTTGGTGGCAAATGATTCCAGCATGTTTTTAGAAATGAATGGAGATAAAATACAAATCGATGATGATTAACAAACAAACAGTCCATTGAGCAGACTGAGATCAATATTCTTGGGAAAATAACAAATTCTCAGATGTATGTGACATAGAATTGTATCAGGAATCTGTCGTTTGTCGAAGTTCATACACATTATTTATATTTGAGCTGGTTTTAACTTGTTGCTATTTCTCTCACCATGTACCTATTCATGTGACAGAGTATGTCACCTTGTAATCAGTGAATGTCTGGCAACCTATCCAAACTATGTGAGTGTGTGGGAGAGAGCAACTTACAACTGCGGGGAGTTCAGGGGGGGGAGCAGGCCAGGTGGGGGTCCCTCTCCCAGCTGTCCCCAGGGTCATGGAACACCTCATCATCATCTGAACAACTCTCACCGTCGTTCTGAAACACAAGGTTGCCATCAAAGGTACCAGATCATAGAAACTGCATATCAAGCTACTCCCATAACTTACATGAAGCATTTAGACAAGGGTCAGATAGATTTGGTGCCACAATAATATCAAGATCTACAGTACGACTGTAAGCCAAGCATTTTCTAATTGCCCATTCAGAGACGCAACAGTGGGTTCGGTATTGATGCATCCATCAATGGCTTTTCAAGTCAAGATTTAATAATTGACATGATCCAGCCACATTATGGTAATACAAGTTATCAACCACTCATTTGTCATGCTCAGTACAACTTGCCTGGAAGAGGTCCCTCATCTGAAGAAGCTTCTCCTCAAACTTGACCAGTGTCCAGTACGTGCAGATGTTATGTTTGGTGTTGGTCACTTTGATGAGGGGTTTCACTTGGTCATCTTCCAGTATGTCCTCCCGGCTGAATGTCTACAGCAGGACATGGACAACTGCTCTCATGATTTTCTTCAGTTTCATAAATGTAAAACTTTCCATGATATAAACATGTGTGTCAAGTTCGTCCCACCTCATGAAAACATGCATAGTTTGGCTTTATCAACAATCACGGTCCTCACGTACCCAGTAACCACAGACATATAGCAGTGGAAGTTCACAACTAAACTAGAATATGTAAAGGTGTCTATCATAGCACCAAGATTTGATATTTGTCAGTAAAACATCATGATGAAGCCATGCAATTACTTCATTGGATTGTGTGCTGAAATTCCCTGGGTTATTCAAACATTCACAGGTAAAACTCACACAACTCCAGGACACAACAGAACTCACACATCAACCATTTCAAATCTGAGTTATAACATGAAGCCATTATTGTGACTGTTATTATTCGGACTATTATTAAGGACAGGATTGTTTGATGTTCAGCAATTTCTAATCTTTGAAATAATTCTGAAGTGATGAAAGTGTTTCTGCATGTTCTATCTGCCACTCACCGTATTCTTCTTCAGATACTGACTGATCTTGTTGGCTTCTCTGAGGAGCAGCGCCACCTTGTAGAGGTCAGTGCGACCTGTCATGGTATCAGGCACACGCTGGCGTTTCGATGGTGTCATCATTTCTGTTCGCTTCTGTTTCAGTTTCTCCAGGTCCTCCGCTGCCTTCTGTTTCTCTGAGTGCAGCAGTTCCAGAAGTCGAGACCTGCCCAGTGACAGCTCACCCAGGGTCTGCAATATCGACATGACATTGTCTTGCATTGCCCTCCTAATGATATATTACTGAATACTAGAAGCATGATGGTTGCCTGAAGACTCATATTTCATTTGTACAAAGAAGAAGGTAAATGTATTGTTAACCACAAACTTAGACTTCCAGGATGCCGTTGTACAAAGCGATCTTAGTGATGAGGTGACTGTAACTCCCATACTTTAACATAGACTTAAGGTTGTTAACGCTAAGTTTGTTTGTACACCCTGGAAGTCTAATGTATTGTTGACCCTGTGCCCTGTGATGCAGTCTGTGATGCAGTCTGTGATGCAGTCTGTGATGAAGATGCTGTTACATACCTTCTCTGCTGCCTGGGCGTCCTCCACCTGCCTTCTCCTCCCCGCCATCACCTCCTGCTCCAGCATCTGCAACATCATCACATCACTGCAGGCAACTTCACACATAACACAAGTACAAGGGTCAGAGGAAATAAAATAACCAGGCATTAATTCATAACTGACATCCAGATTTATCCTCAGTACTTCATGTGCTGACAAATCGGCTCACCATCTTCTGTTTCTTCAGCTTGCTGATAATATCCTCCGCCTCTTGTCTCCACTCCTCTGCCTTGCGAGCCTCGTGACTCTGGCTGCTCTGAAGCACAGAAGATGAGACAAATACTACAGCAGATGTCATACTGGATATCTGGCATCACTTCACCAACCAGTGCATGTTCAGCCAAAGCCTACTCTTGTCCACCTACCAGTACTTGCTAGGTCTATGCTTGCACCAGTCTACGCACCAGTGCTTGCTCTTGCAATGCCTACTCGAGTGTAAATGCCACTGCCCAGTCTCGCTGTGGGTACTCCAGTTTACCTGCCACAGCCTGACACAGCTGTGCCTACACCAGTCCACCTACCAGTACTTATCTAACTGTGCCTACTCCAGTCCACCTACCAGTGCCTTCTCTAGCTCAGCCAGCCTGTCCTCGTAGCCAGTCTTCTGCTTGTCCAGGACCTGGGCAGCCTCCTTCCTAGCCTTCTCCACCTCCTCCACCAGCTCCTGCTGAGCCTGCCGCCGAGCCTCATCAAGCTCACACTGCAGCCTGCAGCACACACACACACACACACATACAGTGTTAGTCTGACAGTAAACATTACAATACAACTGACATTCAGTCAATACCCCAAATCAAGCCATGGCAAATTAATGGTTGATGTCAAGACAACAACTTATGCCACATTAGTAGAATGACATGCCATCATTTTAACCAACCGATCATAATCATAGCTGAAGCTTGTGACCATCACTGTGACCATCAATGCATATATGAGTTGCATACAATACTGATGCCTGGGAATGCCTGTGGTGACTAGAATCATCAACAGACAGATCAAAATTGACCCACCTTGCTTCCTGGACTCGCAGTAACTCCTGCTTAGCAAACTCAAAGTCCTTCACCTCGCTGGACGTGAGACTCGTCTTCTTGCCCTTCTGGACTTCCATTGGATGGTTGAACCTGGACACAACACAGGTCACTATGACAAACAGGATGCAAACAACAATGACCCAAAGTCTCTTGATCATTACCATCAAGTACTTGATTCAAAGTCTTCATGTTACATTAGGTCACACAAATCCAAGTCTACTATGCACCATTGAATATAATGATTAAGTTAAAACTAACGGCTGATGATCAGTTAGGACAGAGACATGAAGATGACATTCTACCCACCGGAAGTAGTGGTCACCACCCAGGATCACACGGTCAGCCTGAAGATGAACAAGATGAACAAGATGAACAAGATGAGCAAGATGAACAAGATGAGCAAGATGAACAAGATGAGCAAGATGAACAAGATGAGCAAGATGAGCAAGATGAACAGATGAACAAGATGAGCAAGATGAACAAGATGAGCAAGATGAACAAGATGAGCAAGATGAGCAAGATGAGCAAGATGAACAAGATGAGCAAGATGAGCAAGATGAACAAGATGAGCAAGATGAACAAGATGAACAAGATGAACAAGATGAGCAAGATGAACAAGATGAACAAGATGAGCAAGATGAGCAAGATGACAAGATGAACAAGATGAGCAAGAGATGAGCAAGATGAGCAAGATGAGCAAGATGAACAAGATGAGCAAGATGAACAAGATGAGCAAGATGAACAAGATGAGCAAGATGAACAAGATGAGCAAGATGAACAAGATGAGCAAGAAGAATATATGGATGACATAGTCATAACACATCACACACTGACAGTCATCTGCCTACTATACACATGCCATTTAGAAAGCGGTGAAATGTAACATGTATATCTGGGATTACATATATGGAAACCACGGTGGCTGAGTGGGTTAGATGGTTGAATTTGTGTGCTGGTGATTAGGTGTCTGACTCAGAGAGTTTGGGTTCGAATGGCGGATGGGACTCAACCAACAAAAGTACTAGAATCTGTACTTTACTGAGAAAGTGTAATCCCAGATATAACATCAATACACATATTATGTCAACTTGTCTCCGACACAGTAAACAACCTACAAGATCACAGCTATCATTCATTCAGTGAGTGAGTTTAGTTTTACGCCGCACTCAGCAATATTCCAGCTATATGTCGGTGGACTGTAATTAATCAAATCTAGACCAGACAATCCAGTGATCAACAGCATGAGCATTGATCTACGCAATTGGGATATGATGACATGTGTCAATCAAGTCAGCGAGCCTGACCACCCAATCTGTCTCTTATGACAAGCATGGGTTACTGAAGATCAATTCTAGCCCAGATCTTCACGGCTCTCATTCACTCAGCTGTATGACTGTGTCAGACTTACATGATGGAGTATCGTGGGCTCTGAGATGAGGTTCCCATTGACATAGGTAGGTGCATCTCCGATTGGTGTAATGCTTATCACAGCCTCCACGTTGTTGATGATGCTGAAACAGACATCCACATCATTCTAAATAATGTTTCAATGAAATAACCAACACATAAACACATTTCCAATGATAGTTTTTCACAAAACTCCTAATTGATGCAAAATAATGATGAAAATATCAAGTATATCCCAGTATGAAGTTGAGTGATTAACAACACACCAATGATTGCCAGCAATAAGTGCCCCGTTGAGTTGTATATCATGTTTTGACGTCTCACTCATCCGTCCGACCCGCGTCTGCCCCTCCTTGATGACGTAGAGCAGCATCTCCGATAACTGCGGGTCCTCGTTCAGGTTCACCAAGTTCGGGAGCTTGTTGTCAACTTTCAGAGCAATGCCTGATTTCTAAAGGAAAGAAAGTTCATTTCGTCATACTCATAGTATATTTCATCAATTTAAAATCATATACTGGGGGAAACAAATAAGGCAACACCACTTCATAGCAGTGTTCCTTTATCTATTCTCAGATTTCCTCCCACAGCACTATTCAAAGCTAGTGATGAAAACTGGAAATTATCAAAGAACGCTTGAATTTTCCTGTGTTCCTTTATTTGTTTCTCTCAGTATATATACAAGCAGATTCCTTTTAACCTTGTCTGATAACAGGATGAAACATTCATGTCTCTTGTGTATATTATGAAAAAGTACATTCCCAACCATCATGATCAGGGCTCGATTTAAGAGATGTTAACCTACTTGCACCAGGTGCAACCTAAGATAAAAACGTAGTTGCACCAGACAAATTCCAGTTGCACTGCTTTTATAGCAATATGTAATGAAAGAAATATGCTATTGAATTACTTCAATGTTTTATTTAGAAGTTTACCCACTCAAAAATTGACTTGCACCTGATGCAAGTTAGACTAATAGCTAGGTTGCACTTTGTAATATTGGGTTGCACCAGTGCCAGTAACAAAGCACTAAAGCGAGCCCTGATGATGGCAACGTGTCCTTGATACTGCCCCATCAAACCATGCTCACCCCATACTATCTTGCTTTTATTCTAACCCCAATATCTGTATGAAGCTGTCTAGTAAGCATCACAGAAGCAGTTTCAATGCCTTCCATGTCAGCTCAAGTGTAGGAAGTTCACCTCATTAACAATTCCATGGTTGTTGAGGAAATGTTTCCTAGTCTACATAATGTCTTTGTAGGGAGAAAAAATATTGAATTTGCCATTAATTGTTCAATCAATACACTACTGAATTTGAAAACCAACTCAACATGTGATCGCAGTATGTGACAAAACCTTTGAGTGCACTTACATGGCTCTTGGCATCTTTTCAGATTTTAGTGTCAATATAATGAGCCAAGCTAACCAGAGTGAGTGACCTTTAGTTTTATGCCACTTTTAGCAATATTCCAGCAATATCACAGAGGGGACACCAGAAATGCACTTCACACATTTTACCCATGTGAGGAATCGAACCCGGGTCTTCGGCATGACAAGCAAACACTTTAACCACTAGGCTACCCCTCCTCACCAAGGGCCAGACCACAGTTTACTAGGCTTGTGCATCAGAATAGTGGTAAAGGTATAGACTGCCATGATGAAATGAGACAATTAACCTTTTGAAACTTAAATGCTGTTTAGGAATAAATACAATTCAGTGTTCTCAAGGATCAAGCCTTTGTTATCCGGAGTTGTCATCTGCTCCAACTCACCTCCAGCATCCGACCTTCAGCAACCTTTTTTTCCTCCGACCTTCTGAGTCTCTCCTGCCAGGACCTGGGAGAAGAAAGAGTGAAGTGGATGAATGAGTTGACACATACACATTCAAACACTCACACACTCGTTCTAATATTCACACCCTCTCACATTCACCTTACTACACTTTGCCAGGCATGGCAGTTTTCAGCCACATGCCATTCTCAGTTCTCACACTCGCTCACACTCATTCTGACTTTAAACCTCAAAGTCAACTCACATTTACCGTCACACTGACCTACTCATTCTCACCCTCCTTCCACTGTTTCAATTTCAAAGCCTTATAGGTTATTAAGAACATGTTCATATAATCTTTTCATCTTGAGAAAGTGCACAAAACACGGGACAGAGTGAAGAAAGGAGTGGGCTGGTTGTGGTCTGACCTTGACATTTCATCCATCTCTCTCTCCTTCTCCATCAGCCTGTCTCGGAGGGTGGCTATCTCGACCAGACTGGAGGCGTGGCTCTCATCACAGACACTCCCAGCTGTCTTACCCCGCAACTTCTCAATCTCAGACCGCAGCTCTGCAAACAACCATGGTACTTGACTATCGTAATACCGTCAGAAAGCACACATGATGACACTTATGAAATATTATGAAAGCAATACGGATATATTTAGATCTGTTTACATACAAAAAGTGCCAGAGTAAACTGAAATTCATTGAATCTATAAGTTCATTTCATTCCTAACTTAAAAAATTTGCAAGCAAATTAACAGTTATAGTACTTGGGACAGTCTAAATCATGTTTACTGCAATACAAATAATTGCTAATATTTGTTACTTTATTTATGAGTTACCATGCTGACGTGTTGCATTAACATGAACAGAATATGTGACTATGTGCTAAGGGAAGGGAAGTAACTCTTAGTTAATAACATGGGTTTTTTCGTACTATCATTTGAGGTGAGCCATGTTTTCCTGAATGATTTTAAATATGTGAAACTTCTTGCAATTATATTTTTAAAAAAACGCTTTCTGCTTTCTCAACTCACCTCGAATAATTTTGGCCTTGGGGTCTTCATTGACACGCACAACATTCACGATGGATCGGGCCTGTTTGGCATATCTGGGGAGATAAGTTGACATGGAATCTGTTACTCAAACCCAGATACAGTACAGTGATATAACAGTCACTTCTCAGTGATAGGTCATAGGCTTGATGGTAGAGTCTGAAATGTGATGAAATCACTGGGTTTTTTTTCTTTCATTGTCGTCACGCCGAAGACCCGGGTTCGATTCCCCACATGGGCACAATGTGTTAAGCCCATTTCTGGTCTCCCCCGCCGTGATATTGCTGGAATATTGCTAAAAGCGGCGTAAAAACTAAACTCAGTCAGTCAGTCAGTTTTTCTTTCATTGGAAAGTCTAATAACATTTCTTTCGCATTATTCCAATTCTTGTACCAGACATACAATGTACCAGAAATATGGTAATGACAGAGTAGCGTCATGACATTCCAGAGTGCTGTTATGCCATTCCAGAGTGCTGTTATGCCATTCCAGAGTGACGTCATGACATTCCTGAGTGCTGTTATGCCATTCCAGAGTGACGTCATGACATTCCAGAGTGCTGTTATGCCATTCCAGAGTGACGTCATGACATTCCAGAGTATGGTCATTCCCACGTGATGTCATTCCAGCGTTCCATGAGTGCTGTTATGCCATTCCAGAGTGACATCATGCTGTTATGCATTCCTGAGTGGTGTTATGCCATTCCAGAGTGATGGACTATTCCATTCTATGGTCATTCCCAAGTTGCTTCATGCTATTCCAGAGTGACGTCATGACATTCCAGAATGCTGTCATTCCAGAGTGACGTCATGACATTCCAAAATGCTGTCATTCCAGAGTGACGTCATGACATTCCAGAACGGCCTCATGCAATCCCCAACTGCTGTCATACCATTCCAGAGAGAATGATATTTCATTCATTTCAGAGAGAATGATATTCTCTCATGCCTTTCCAGAGAGGTGTCATGAGAGTGCTGTCATTCCAGAGTGATGTCATGACATTCCAGAAAGCTGTCATTCCAGAGCAGCATCATGCCATTCCCAAATGTTGTCATGCCTTTCCAGAGTGCTGTCATGCCATTCCAGCTTACTGTCATGCCATTGAAGAATGCTGTCATTTCAGAGTGGCAACATGCCATTCCAGAGTGCTGTCATGACATTCCAGCATACTGTCATGACATACCAGAGTGCTGTCATGCCAATGAAGAATGCTGTCATTTCAGGTTAGCAACCTGCCATTCCAGAGTGATCTTATGACATTCTAGAGTGACGTCATGACATTGAAGAATGCTGTCATTCCAGAGCGGCATCAGGCCATTCCCAAATGCTGTCATGCCATTCCAGAGTGCTGTCATGACATTTAAGAAAGCTGTCATTTCAGAGTGGCAACATGCTATTCCAGAGTGATGTCATGCTATTCCAGAGTGACGTCATGACATTCCAGTGTCATGTCATGCTATTCCAGAGTGGCATTCCATTCCGAAATGCTGTCATGCCATTCGAAATGCTGTCATGCCATTCCAGTGTGACGTCATGACATTCCAGAGCGGCATCATGCCATTCGCAAATGCTGTCATTACATTCCAGAGTGCTGTCATGACATTGAAGAATGCTGTCATTTCAGAGAGGCAAAATGCTTTGCCAGAGTGATGTCATGACATTCCAGAAAGCTGTCATTCCAGAGCAGCATCAAGCCCTTCCCAAATAATGTCCTTTAATTCCAGAGTGGTTTCATTCCAGAGCGGCATCAGGCCCTTCCCAAATGCTGTCATGCCTTTCCAGAGTGCTGTCATGCCATTGAAGAATGCTGTCATTTCAGAGTAGCAAAATGCTATTCCAGAGTGATGTCATGCCATTCGAGTGCTGTCATTCCAAAGTGGGGTCATGACATTCCAGATTCCAGAATGATGTCATCCCAGAGTGATATGACATTTGTATTTTTTTCATTGTGAAGTCTAAAAACATTTCTTTTACATTATTCAAATTCTTGTACCAGAGATACCAGAAATATGGCACTGACAGAATGGCGCCATGCCATTCCAGTGTGGCATCATGCTATTCCGGATGTTATGTTATTCCAGAGTGAGTGAGTATGGTTTTATGTCACTTTTAGCAATATTCCAGCAATATCACGGCAGGGGACACCAGAAATGGGCTTCACACATTGTACCCATGTGGGGAATCAAACCTGGGTCTTCGGCGTGACGATTGAACGCTTTAACCACTAGGCTACCCCACCGGCCCTATTCCAGAATATCATGACATTCAGAGTGACATCATTCCATTCCAGATGATGACATGACATTCCAGAGTTACATGATGACATTCCAGAGTTACATGATGACATCGCACAGTTACATGATGACTTACATGACATCCCAGAGTTACATGATGACATCCCAGAGTAACATGACATCCCAGAGTTACATAATGACATCCGAGAGTTACATGATGACATCCCAGAGTTACATGACTAACATCCCAGAGTTACTTGATGACATCCCAGAGTTACATGACATGCCAGATGACATCCCACAGTTACATGATGACATCCCAGAGTTACATGACATGCCACAGCTACATGATGACATCCCAGAGTTACATGATGACATGCCAGAGTTACATGACATCCCAGAGTTACATGATGACATCCCACAGTTACATAATGACTTACATGACATCCCAGAGTGACATGATGACATCCCAGAGTTACATGATGACTTACATGATGACATCCCAGAGTTACATGATGACTTACATGACATCCCAGAGTGACATGACAACCCACAGTGACATGACATCCCACAGTGACATGATGACATCCCACAGTTACATAATGACTTACATGACATCCCAGAGTTACATGACTTACATGATGACATCCCAGAGTTACATGATGACATCCCAGAGTTACATGATGACTTACTTAATGACTTACATGATGACATCCCAGAGTTACATGATAACATTCCAGAGTTACATGATGGCATTACAGAGTTACATGATGACTTACATGACATCAAAGAGTTACATGATGACATGCCAGAGTTACATGATGACATCCCAGAGTTACATGATGACTTACATGATGACATCCCAGAGTTACATAATGACATCCCAGAGTTACATGATGACATCCCAGAGTTACATGATGACATGCCAGAGTTACATGAAATGCCAGTTATATGATGACATCCCAGTTACATGATGACATCCCAGAGTTACATGATGACATCCCAGAGTTACATGATGACATCCCAGTTACATGATGACATCCCAGAGTTACATGATGACATCCCAGAGTTACATGATGACATCCCAGTTACATGATGACATCCCAGAGTTACATGATGATATCCCAGAGTTACATGATGATATCCCAGAGTTTCATGACATGCCAGAGTTACATGATGACATCCCAGTTACATGATGACATCCCCAGAGTTACATGATGACTTACATGATGACATCCCAGAGTTACATGATGACATCCCAGTTACATCATGACATCCACGAGTTACATGACATGCCAGAGTTACAGGATGACATCCCAGAGTTACATGATGACATCCACGAGTTACATGACATGCCAGAGTTACATGATGACATCCCAGAGTTACATGATGACATGCCAGAGCAACACCATATCTGAATCCACTACATTCTGGCAGGGTGACACACATTTAGCCAGGTCACACATTGTAGCCACATTGATGCTCATCACTGGGCCCCTATAACAAGAAAACCCATTCCTCAACGTCTACGACTAGATCTCACCTGAGTGTGCTGAGTGTTTCTTCTGTATGGTGGTTTGCTGGGCTGATGGTGGCAATCATGGCCGTCTTCGAGTTGCCACCCAGGCTCTCCTTCAGCAGCCTGCCGCAATAAGAAAATGAGTAACAGAGTGAGTTTGAGTGAATAAAAGTAAGTCACAGAGTGTTGGTTGTCTAATGTCTGTACTCACCATGTAAGCACAGAGTCTCAGTATGGAATGTAACTGTACTCACCATGTAAGCACAGAGTCTCAGTATGGAATGTAACTGTACTCACCATGTAAGCACAGAGTCTCAGTATGGAATGTAACTGTACTCACCATGTAAGCACAGAGTCTCAGTATGGAATGTAACTGTACTCACCATGTAAGCACAGAGTCTCAGTATGGAATGTAACTGTACTCACCATGTAAGCACAGAGTCTCAGTATGGAATGTAACTGTACTCACCATGTAAGCACAGAGTCTCAGTATGGAATGTAACTGTACTCACCATGTAAGCACAGAGTCTCAGTATGGAATGTAACTGTACTCACCATGTAAGCACAGAGTCTCACCATGTAAGTATGGAATGTAACTGTACTCACCATGTAAGCACAGAGTCTCGGTATGTAACTGTAATGTAACACAGAGTCTCGTGGAATGTAACTGTACCATGTAAGCACAGAGTCTCGGTATGGAATGTAACTGTACTGTACACCATGTAAGCACAGAGTCTCGTATATGGAATGTAACTGTACTCACCATGTAAGCACAGAGTCTCGGTATGGAATGTAACTGTACTCACCATGTAAGCACAGAGTCTCGGTATGGAATGTAACTGTACTCACCATGTAAGCACAGAGTCTCGGTATGGAATGTAACTACTCACCATGTAAGCACAGAGTCTCGGTATGGAATGTAACTGTACTCACCATGTAAGCACAGAGTCTCAGTATGGAATGTAACTGTACTCACCATGTAAGCACAGAGTCTCGGTATGGAATGTAACTACTCACCATGTAAGCACAGAGTCTCAGTATGGAATGTAACTGTACTCACCATGTAAGCACAGAGTCTCAGTATGGAATGTAACTGTACTCACCATGTAAGCACAGAGTCTCGGTATGGAATGTAACTACTCACCATGTAAGCACAGAGTCTCAGTATGGAATGTAACTGTACTCACCATGTAAGCACAGAGTCTCAGTATGGAATGTAATGTAACTGTACTCACCATGTAAGCACAGAGTCTCAGTATGGAATGTAACTGTACTCACCATGTAAGCACAGAGTCTCAGTATGGAATGTAACTGTAAGCACAGAGTCTCAGTATGGAATGTAACTGTACTCACCATGTAAGCACAGAGTCTCGGTATGGAATGTAACTGTACTCACCATGTAAGCACAGAGTCTCAGTATGGAATGTAACTGTAAGCACAGAGTCTCACCATGTAAGCACAGAGTCTCAGTATGGAATGTAACTGTACTCACCATGTAAGCACAGAGTCTCGGTATGGAATGTAACTGTACTCACCATGTAAGCACAGAGTCTCGGTATGGAATGTAACTACTCACCATGTAAGCACAGAGTCTCAGTATGGAATGTAACTGTACTCACCATGTAAGCACAGAGTCTCGGTATGGAATGAAACGCTTCTTCTTGGAAGTGGACTGGTCTGAGAGAAGGGAGATCACCTTCCCCAAGGTCATCAGGGACTTGTTGATGTTGGCGCCTTCCTATCATGCAACATATAAACAGTGAGCTCAAAATACTTGTTAGTTTACTCACACAAACTGATATTTTAGCAATATTTTCAATATGAACTAGAACAAGCTGATCTTACTGGACAAGAACTTTCACTTGACACATCATTCAGACTATTGACTAGTGACATTTAATTTCAGTTACTAAACTGCTATATTTCTATCAGATGTACAGCAGCATTATATATTCCAGCTGTATGACAGCGACCTTTAAAGAGTCCAGTGATTGATATTGTCAGGACAGATCTACACCGTAACCAGGCCTGACCAATCTCAAATGACAAACCCACATTCATATTTTGGGCCAAGATTCAGAATATTTCTCTTCAGTGTATTAGCGTAATGATTCATCAAAATAATATCGAAATGTTTGTGCACCTACCCTGAGTCTCTCGCCGGAGGTCTGTGCCGCTGACTGTCTCTCACTCCCGGCTAGATCCACCAGGTTTATCTTGCTGTTGACAGAGCTGTCATGGTCCTGCCCCTCCAGATGCTCCGTCTGACAGGAGATAACATCGTATATACACCATGCAGTTCCTGGGCTAACAGACTGTGTCTACTTATGTACTTACCACCTCATCACAGTCACTACTGGAGTATAAATCATAATACAATACCATTAAACATATCTATGGCTCAAACTGACAACAAAACCATTTGCATCATGTTGTATGTCTTCAACCTTTCATTACTGATCATGTTGACAGCATTTATATTTTTCTCAAAAATTCATGATGCGTCAAGGTTTGAACAAATAAAACAACCATTCAGAGGCCGGAATTTTATCACATCATCAATGATGAAGTTCCCCCTTGTCTACTGACTAATGAGATGCTGCAACTGACCCTGGTCTGCGTCATGACGATGGTGAAGACGGAGTGGGATCTGCTGCTCTTGTCATTCATCCCCGTGGCTGCTGTGGCTCTGTTTTTGTTTCCCAGCGTGATCCAGCCCTGGAAACAGTGAGAGAGTTTAGCAATATTCAAGCTATATGGTGGTGGTCTGTAAATAATCAAGTCTGGACCAGACAATCCAGTGATCAACAGCATGAGCATCATCTACGCTATTGGGAAACGATGACAAGTGTCAACCAAGTCAGCGGGCCTGACCACCCGATCCCGTTAGTCGCCTCCTACGACAAGCATGGGTTACTGAAGATCAACTCTAACCTGGATCTTTACAGGTTTGAAATAAACAGAGTACGCGGGATGAGGATATGGGCACTACTATGTGGGTGGTTGTACCACAGCTGTATAGAACAGGTCTGAGCTATAATCCTTATCACTGACGTGGATCAGTGATAGCCATCATCCATTGTGTCCATCCAATCACCGTAGTGAGGAGTGAATGTTGCTTTCAGGGATTTACGAGGCGCGAATTCCTGCATCCTATATGCATAAAAATTGACAATGGACGCAACAAAATGTATTAGCACATCGACAGGGACACAGAAAAAGTCCTAATACTTTTTGTAAATATTTAGATCAAGTAACAATACGTTATCACTGAGTCTGCTACTAGCCGGGTTATGATATCATTTGCAATTTAATTACTGTTACAATGTGATGATCATGATACACAATATGTTGATAAGTGTTTGCAGCCCCTAAATGCTCCCTATTGTTTTAACATTTAATGTGGATCCGATTCCGCAGTCCCACTTTTATACCCTTTAATTAGCCTAATTTCGCTTTCCAATCCTGTTTTTGTAGTTCTGTGTGTCTCTGATTAAATGGCTGCCCACATGGCAGGTCAAATGACCATGTGCTCTGAAGTTTTCTCTCTGACTGATTCCATAGCCTAACCGCTATCCGGTCCATGCTGATATAGCCACCAGTACCCACTCCTACTACCCACCTATACTTCATTTACACAATACAACAGTAAGTGAATTACAATAATATTACAACACAGTATTTTGTAGTCCAGGACCTCTTAAAATTAAGAGTATGAGTCCCAGGGACCCTCAAATACAGGACTCAAGGTAAATCCCCAGTTGCTTTCCTTTCATTTTCTATTTATTTGAAGACATGATCGCGGCACCTACTAACTAACCTTCACATCTTCAAAAGAGTTGACAACAAAGGTGGACAGTCCTTCAACATATGGCCCAAGCACTGGATGTTCCCGAACCTTTAGCTGAAATACACGAACATGTCATTTAATATCAAACAACATTATAAACAACATTATTCTCTACAAACGATTATTAACATTGGATTGTCAACACCATGATAACATGGTAACAGTTGAGATATCCCATCAACTCTAAGCACACAAAACAGCTCTGAGACAGTTTAATATCCATCACTGGCGGATCCAGAGGGGGTTCGACACACACACACACCCCACCACCCCCCACTTCGAAAATGACTTAAGACCACATTAAAGACTTTTTTTGCGTTGGCAGAGCCAATGGCGGGTTCAGGGGGTTCGAAACCCCTGAAACACCACCCCCCCTTCAAAATTCCTGGATCCACCCATGTCCATTGTTGTTAACTCACTGTTGGTTTCTTGCCCCCTTTGTCCTTAGATGACATCAGCAGGTCATGAATCTTTTCATTGTAAATCTCAAAGAAGCTGATTTCAACGCTGATTTTCACCTGAAATAGAAACATTTGCTTGTTTTAGTGTTTCAGCAGAATCGGATGGTTAACATGTCATAGCAGCCCATGTTATCCAAAATCAAATCAGTCTCATGTTCAAGACATACACTACAGTCCATAGACCGTTGTGATACAAGACTTACAGTCCATAGACCGTTATAATACAAGACATACAGTCCATAGTCCATTGTGATAAAAGATTTACAGTCCATAGTCCATTGTGATAAAAGATTTACAGTACATAGTCCATTGTGATAAAAGACTTACACTCTACAGTCCATAGACTGTTGTAATACAAGACATACAGTCCATTGTGATACAAGACATACAGTCCATTGTGATACAAGACATACAGTCCATTGTGATACAAGACACACAGTCCATAATCTATTGACACAAGACATACAGTGCATATACCGTTGTAGTACAAGACATACAGTCTATAGACCATTGTGACACAAGACAGGTATCTTCATTGAGTGAATCATCTTTTACAAGGTTTTACATCATGTACAAACTGAATGGTAATAGAGTCTACAAATCTTACCTTGTCTTTATCTCGAAAGTTTTCTGCTCGAGAAAAAAGCTCCTCACAGAAGCGTGGAATAATTCCGGTTTCAGAGCCGTGGCCCATTATGCTGTGAAACAAAACACAAGGATGAACAGTGGTGTTTCTGTACTATTCAGCATGCTCAAAAGAAGTTAAGGACCCTAAATTCATCATCAGTGATCATGTTGATGCCATGACAGGACATTCTTAATTAATAATGCAATAACAATTGGTGGCATGACTGAGTGAGAGGCGACTAACAGGATCGGGTGGTCAGGCTCGCTGGCTTGGTTGACACATGTCATCGCATTCCATTTGCATAGATCGATGCTCATGCTGTTGATCACTGGATTTTCTGCTCCAGACTGGATTATTTACAGACCGCCACCATATAGCTGTAATATTGCTGAGTGCGGCGTAAAACTAAACTCACTCACTCACTCTTTACAGCTATCAACTCCCAACAGAAGCTACACTGTCCGAGACATTTTAAGGCAGCTTCTTCTAGAAGGCTGGCTGGTACTTTATAAGAATGATAAGTGAGAGGCAGTTTGAAGCCTTCCTTCTATAATTATACAACGGCACCCTGCGCCTCACTGCTCAAAGAGGTCTAGTGCTACAACAACGTAAGGCCCCAAAAAATTATATATCTGTTTCTTATTACATGCTTTTTAAAAATAGGGTAGGTGGGTTGGTTTTATCTTCTTTTTTTTTTACTTCTTTTTTTCTATTAGCACCAGGTGGGCACCTGAAAATGTCTTCAAGGATACCATATCATGTTGTCACAATGTCTTGTGATGAAATATGGATAGATTTCTATATCAAATCATTATTTATGTTATTTATGTGCAGGTTTTGTCAGTGAGAGCCCATTATGCCAATTCAATGCAATCCATTTTAGCCCTCCGTACACCAAAAACATGAAAATATCATACTCGATTTGGATGAAAATGATGAGTTGAAATGCACTACAGTCATGATTTTGACTTGGTTAAAAAAAGATTTAGGGTCAGGTGGGTTAGGATAGGGTCGGTCGGGTTACCGGAAACGGACATTTGTTGTTGGTGGTGGGGTGGGGTGGGGTGGTTTTGGGTTTGTTTTTTTTGTTCCCTAGGCCAAATTAAAAAAATGTTGTGGTTCCGATTACACCTCTTTAAAATTTAGGGTAGCTAGGTCGGAATTTATTTTTTTTTACATTTTTTTTTAGAAGTAAAGAACAAAGTAATAACACATTTGTTTCTTTAATGAAGCTTGCGGCCATCATATTGACTTTCTCTATCAGAATGACCGATATCTGTTGGTGCCTGGAAGAAACAATGGTCTCTGACAGCTTATTTTATTCATTCCGCTGAAAAAAATTAGGGTCGGCACCAGAATTCAAGGGTCGGTCGGGTAATCGGAACCACATTATTTTTTTTAGGCCCTATGTAAGTATGGGACTTACAATCACCGTTACGATAGCTTTGTGCAACAGTGTTACACACTTGAACATGTTTTAAAAGAAATGTTTCAAAACATCACATATCTTAACAATTTCTGTTTACAAGTAAGTGCAAACCTATAGCTTTTCCCGCTGCCCGTCTGTCCGTAGGCAAAGAGACAGGTGTTGTAGCCCTCGAAGGCCTTGCCGAGGAGGGGTTGGGCCAGGCTGTCATAGACGGTCTGCTGACTCGAGAACTCGCTGTGACTTCGCTCACATGACCAGAAGGAAAAGTCATAGGCGAATCGGTAGGTCAAACCATTCTCTGCTGTCACTGTGGTTTCGTTGCCATTCATTGACACGACCGTCTTGACATTTGGGTCTAATAATTCTCTGGAACAGGATGGAATATTTATGTGTATGATGTGTACATTGTCATGATCGTGCACAGGATCAACATGGGTTCAGGTTTACAACATAATCTTGGTTATTGAACATGTTGAAAACTCATTATTACACTTTCAACTTTTATCACGATCATGTTCATTATCATGAATAAGACTGACTGACTGACTGACTGAATTTTGGTTTTACGCGCTTTTAGCAATATTCCAGCAACATCACGGCGGGGGACACCAGAAATGGGCTTCACAAATTGTACCCATGTGGGGATTCGAACCCGGGTCTTCGGCGTGACTAGCCAACGCTTTAACCACTGGGCTACCCCACTGCCCCTCATGAATAAGAAGATTTCCTGACATACAACATAAACATTTAGTTACATTATGTAGAACACAGCATTATTTCTGGTGGTTTAACATGTTTAAAGGAAAGCTTGGATTACCATAATTTTCATGCAAAAGATGAAATTAGCAGGTTAAGATAGACAGTCAAACTATCCTAATCGCAAACCTAATGCATATGATGAAAAAACTAATGCTAAACATAATAAAGACGTCTCTGAAAGACTGAAACATACCAGAAGCCATCTTACATGTGTTCATTTCAAACACTGCTGTGAGTTTATTTTACTTTTAGCATGTTTAGACTTTTGCCAATTATCATGATTATCATTATTACCAATACCATGATCATGCTAACTGGACATACACCATGTGTACATGTGGAATATCATGCATCATTGCATCAGAGGCCCAGATAAGCTGCGTATCCGGGTAAAATACGCATAGAAAATTTCCAATTACGCATTGAAAACATAATTGTTGCGTACCAATTACGCATTTAAAATGTTAGATACGCAAAAAGTTTAAAACATATGCGTACGGAATATATTTATAAAAATCGCTTGCGTAATGAAAAAGACATCGATTGCTTTCAAGCTGTACTGTCAGTATAGGATGAGTGATTTTTTATGAAATCATTTCCATTATATTAAAGTTGGTTTTGATTAGGTATGACATAAGGCAGAACATACCTGCTTAGTAACTTACTCAATGACATATACTTAGGTGAGTAAAATGACTGAAATATGCACATATTTGAAAGCAGTGGGTAACGGAAAATGAAATACCCACTCAACATTCATAATACCCACTCCAAAAAATACAGTGGGTACAGTACCCACATGAGCTAAATCTTATCTGGAGCTCTGATTGCAGGATCACATATTCAATAATGGTAAGGTTTCCGATCATTGCACCCACCTAAATTGATTAAACTGTTACTCAAAGAAAATTAATTAAATAAACTCATTAATTAAAAACATATATTACATCTAAAAGCTATAATAGTATAAGAATGTGAATAAGCTATGAACCATATCAGGGTTAGGGTCAGGTAACTCTAAGTTAGTCTAACCTTAACCCTAACTCTGAGTCTTAATCAGTTGTTACCCCCTCGCCCCACAAAAAAGGCTGGGAATGGTTTTTAACAGGATATTTATCTATAATCAGTTTTCCTCATCACACACGATACAATGCTGAACCTCAATCAATGCCATCATGAATATCTCTTGAAATTGAAAAGTAGTCATGTCATAGATTATGAAGTGATCTAAGACCCTAAATGTGACTTATTGAACATGTTGAAGCTAGAAAATCTAATAGTCACAATTTGATGACCCTCTCTAAGGCCTGTCAAACAATTATTTGGAGACACTCAACCTACCTTTGACTAAGTGGTCTGACGCGGACGGCCACAGTGACACTTGTACAGCTGTCTTCATCACTGTCAATATCACCAAGGTCGTCATAACTCACATCATATTTCCGAGGAGTTTCCATCTGTACAACTTTGTAACAGTCGGGTGTCCGAAATATGCGGCTTTCAAGCGTATGACGTCTTGCAACTTTCGTTGGTGTTCGAAACGGATCTGTACATGGAGGCGCTAATTCAACATCAAAGATGGGCTTTTTAGGAGCCTCGTCAACTTTCTTTACCTTTGGGGGCAGTGTTTCAAGTTTTTTCTCTTTTGGAAGACATTCATCTGTTTTCTTCATGATTTGATCCTTTGTTTCATCAAGACTTGAGTCAGGAGTAGATGTGTCGATTGGCTGAGGTGGGTTATCCATGCCTTTGTTTTCTTTACCAATATTTAATCCAAGCTTCTCTGTAAACTTGGACACAAATCTTGACATAAGATTATTTTCCATTGGGGACAAGGGTTGTATAGCTGCCTCAGGTTTAATTACTCCAGTGGACTGTGTCCCTCCAATAGAAGTTTCAACCGTTTCTTCGTTGAACGTTACACCTCTTGTTTGTGGATTGGATGGAACATAAGGTAGAAGCCTTTTACTCTTCCCCCTAGGCGTGGTCTTTTTCGGTGAATTTATCCTTCCCGACATGTTTACTCTCAGTGTCGTATCAACTTATCAAACCACAATGTATAAAATATCACACTCAGTAAATCACCTCGCCCGGCAACATGACACAATCTAAAGGTCTCAAGCGTACTTTTCGTTGTTAATCCAGTGACACTGGTTGCACTGTAAGGAATGAATTCGGTCGGAATCAGTCGCACGCACCAGGATTACCTGTTAATCTCTCTCGATACTCAACAGTCACGGGCCACCAAATGTCAATGTCAACCGGTGCCGAGACCAAATGAAATCTACAATGTAAGGTACAGTTTTCGCGCACACGCCATTACTCACAAACATAGTCAATCACTGGTGCTTTTTAGTTAGATCACATGATTACACACTGTACATAATCCTTCATCTTTTTGTAATCCATTTGAACAATCCATCACATGCAAACATTATCCACTTGGGAACTTGTTTTGAAATTACCTCGCCTTTGCGCCAGCTTTCGGCTAATTCGAACAAGCGCGGTTCTGATTGGCTACTATTTTTAGAAATAGACATTTTCTTCAGGGGCATTTCTGAGTCACAGGAGGCCTCAGTCGAACAAGCTACCTAAAACGCTTTTAACCGGCTGGTGTCACGATAAACACAAAACACTTCTTGACACGTGCACACATATACTCCCAGACACATACCATTACCTTGGTATAAAAGATAGGATGTCAGCAACAATTAATGTGCACTGATGCTCCTGAGGAATGCAGGCGTTTGAAGTTCTTGAAAGGCATTTAGGAGTTAGACGAACATGGATACATGACACGTTTTATGGATGACAAATACAATGTACTATATAGTCAGCGTTCGAAATTAACGTCGGTCCTTAGGCCCGAAGCCGACTGAAAACCACTCGGCCCCACAGCTTTTGGTTTATGCAGGTCCGTATGGCCGACAGTTTTTCATCCCCAATAACTAAGAGTATCATTTCCATATTAAAATATCGGGCCTACACATTCTGATCAGGACCCACAACTTTTATGGTTCTGGGTCCTTAGGGCCAGCAGCTTTTCAGGGTTAAGGGCAAAAACACTGTTTATAGTAGTACGTGTATAAAGAATAAAAAGAAGTTGTTTTCCATAAAACGTTTCATGTATTCACGCAGGAATTCGGGTTCGAAATTCGTATTTTTTATGCAAAGAGCTCAGTTATTCTTCCCACAGTTAAGTTTTTGTAAACACAAAATAGCAGACATATATCTGCAATAAATAGAATAGAAAAGAATAACACTTTAATGCCTTTTCAGGAATTTGTGTTACATCAGCAGAGCTACTGACACATAAGAGACATACAAAACATATTTACATAAATTCATTGATTTAGGTATCTTCACATTTGTTTAAGAGAGATATTGTACTTGGAATAAAGGATGTACGGGCTCTCTTGGTTTTCACAATTGGAACTTTGTAGCGGCGGCCTGAAGGGAGGAGGTTGTATTCCGAATTTAAGTAGTGATCAGTACGGTCAGATATAATTTTAACAGCTTGATTCACACTTTGCCGCTCATATCTTGATGATAAACATTCAAATCTGACTCCAGCGATTTTACTTGCAGTGTTAACAATTTTGTCTATTTTAGATTTGAGATGAACTGAGACAGACCCGTACCAACAATGGAAGGAAAATGTTAAAATACTCTGAATAAATGCTGCATAAAATGATGACATCACAGATGGGTTAACATTAAAAGGTCTCAGTTTACGCATGAGATGAAGACGTTGTTGACACTTTTTGTATAGGGCTTCAGTGTTAAGAGTTCCAGTTCAGCTTAGAGTCAATGAAGGTTCCCAGATACTTATACTCCGACACTGTCTTAACACATTCACCGTTGATTATCACTGGAAGCATTTCTTTGGGCTAACTCCGAAAGCCAATTATCAGTTCCTTTGTTTCTGTGCCATTTAAGAGTAAGTGGTTTTCTGCACACCAAGTCGTGAAATGATTAATGTCCTCTTTATACAGTTCTTCAGAATCAGTGTCGTTCAGTTTGCCGACAATTGCTGCATCATCTGCGAACTTTACAGTTGAACAGGTTGAATTCGAGCTTGCACAATCATTAGTGTAGAGGGTGAAAAGAACAGGAGATATTACACAGCCTTGTGGTGCACCAGTGTTGGTGGTCCGTTTACTCGACACAGCCCCGTTAACTTTCACGTACTGCTGTCTGTCCACAAGAAAGGTTTCGATCCACTTGATGAGGTATGAGTTAACGCCCATGTCTAACAGTTTCTGTATCATGATATCTGGCTGGATGGTGTTGAACGCAGATGAAAAGTCAACGAAGAGGATTCTGATGTATGACTTATTGGGCACGTTTTAATGATTACCCATAGTAGATTGTGCCCCAGTGCGCGACTTATGTGTTTTGTATCAGTAAAATAAGGTCCTGGTTTAAGAAAATAAAGTTAAATCAATTTTGAGTTTCATTGGCATGATAAATCTCAATATTAGCGATTTTCGAGGGTGTAAATCTAAAACGACATAAAACATCTGAACTGCATGTATTGGGTTCGTGTGCTGTGTAATGTTAATCGTGAAGAGTGGGCACCTATCTGAACACCTCGTACAAACAACTTCCGAGATTACACGAGAATCGAAAGTGAGTCATATTTCCATGAAACGCTATAGGTGCTTTTTTAAACATTAGAGTATAACGGAAACACGTGGCATTGCCAATGTTAATATTAGCATATATGTAGATTTATGTTATTTACTGTGTATATTGACGCATACAGTGCTCGAACAAGGTAAGTGCCTAATATAGGGGCGGGTACAGCTTTATAAGAAGAGGGAGGGGAGTGCACACTCTTGAGGAAGGGGGGATGCACACTCCATTTTCACCCGTTTTCACTAATATTATAAATGTGGCATTCATAAATATCATTTGCTTCGGTAACAGAAATAAGTTATGGATAAGAAAAATGACATTGCTGTCAGGGACACGAGGCAAGCTTCGATAAGATCAAACGACGTTGTCCATGACACGTGGGGCGGTGGGGTAGCTTAGTGGTCAAGGCGATCACTCGTCACGCCAAAGACCCGGGTTCGATTCCCCACATGGGCACAATGTCTGAAGCCCGTTTCTGGTGTTCCCCGCCGTGATATTGCTGGAATATTGCTCAAAGCGGCGTAAACCTAAACTCACTCACTCATGACACGTGGCAAGCTACAAAAGGATAACGCATAATTGTGAGGGACACTTCACTATCTTCACTATCTTCACTACGATAACTCGACTGTCTAGAGTACGTGACTGCCTGCAAAATGGTCTCATGGCAGTGCAGGACACCTGAATATCTGCAGCGTGGTTGAAGAGGGCCCGTCTCATTCAGCACGATAACATAAAAGTGTAGGACAGGTGACAGTCTTTCAAAACATTGTTATCGAGGACAAGTAACAGTCTACAATAACATAAATGCAGACAATCAGATGTTCATTTCTAATATATATGCATCCCTGGATCAAAGCATTTGCATCTTTGAATCCATTATTGCAGCAGACGTAATAGACTAAGGCTTAGTCTCTGAATATAGGGGAAATTAATGTGGTTCAGGGACTGTGAGACAGACGACATACGTAACCAGCACTTAACGTTCTTTCAAAGTTTGCCCCAAGCTGATTATTTCTAACGAAAAGTACTCTGCATTTGAAAGGGGTGTATAACTCTACGATGTTGGTCACGCGTAACGCGTAAGTGTGTACGGAAGTAATACGGACCTTAGACTGTTACTGAATATTTTGCTGATCACAGGTTTGTTCCCAAGCTATGATTAAGACTGAGATATAATGCATTTGTTATCATTATGTTTCAAGTATTGTCAACGTGTGACAACTCTGTGGAAGTTGTGAAATTACATTGCATGTCATCATGTCGATCAATTTCTAGTTTCCTTTTGATTACAAGTGCACTGTTGCACATATTGTCACATGTCTTGTGGTCATGCAATACTTATTTAATTAATTGATATTTATGATGATATTTAAAATCTAATTTTTACTGTCTGTTAATGTGATATATGTGTGCGCAAATAACTGAACGATATATTAGCATGGTCATATAAGATGGCAGCTGTATGTGTGCACATTATAACAAAACCAGTCCAAGCACCAAAAAAAAATGCTTGAACATTGTTAATGGTCTATGTGCAGTTTCTGCAGCAACTACCAGCAGTCAGTGTGTTGGCATTTCAAAGGAGCAGTGAGCCATTTCAAGAAAAATGTAACTAAAGTAACTCTAAGACCGAGTTGACAGCTGCTTCATGTGCAGAGCTTGCTCCCCCAACCTTGCTATTCATCCGTCCGTGCCATCCTGAAATAATATGGGATACTGTATAAATAAAACTATACAATTCATGTTTTTATTACAAAAATCTTATTTTAATATATAATACTATACTATATAATACTATAATACTACTATTACTAATAATATACCTTCGACGCGGTTGTTGGTGCGGATGGTCACGCTGCGAAGCACTCCACGTAGATGGCTCGAAAACTTGATGCTCCATCCACTGACGCTGAAATATATGATCAGCTGATTCAGTGGTCCATGTCTCTCCACCGGTCCGCAATCTTGGCAAACATCCTCGAATGTGTTCCGAAGGCAAAACGGCAGGGCCATGAGTTTCCTAACAAACTTGTGTACGGCATCATCCTTCTGGTAGGCAATCTGGAAAAATAAGGAAAACAATTAGGGAAATATATGTATAAATGTATTTATATATGTATAAATGCATAATAAATAAAAGTGATAAGTATAAATAAAAACACAAGTTACCTGCAGACCAAATTCTGGCATTTTCTCCAGACCGCTTAGGTTAGGTGGAAAAGGCATCCACGAAGACGGACGGCAGGTAGAACCTTAGCAAGAGCTTTCCACGCTAAGCTAGCTCAAAAATCCAAGATGATAGTCTTCACCTCAGGTTCCCTTGGTAATATGGCCAGCAAACCACCTAAACACCTTCACGTAATCGGACGCACGCCTACGCCGAGACATGATAACAAACGCCAGAGGCAACATCTTTGCATCTTGTCCAGATCTCACGAAAGCTACGAACAGACAACAGCTGGTAGAAGGGAGCCCGCACAATTTTTAAAGGTTCCATCTAAACCATTGTCTGCTCCTGCTTAACATGGATAACTGCTGGTCAGTAGCTAGGAGTATGTGCCTCGCGCTTTGTTCTCACGTTGTCTGCCCTCACAAAGCCTCTTGGCAGAAAGTCCTCAGCAAGCTAAAAATATAAAATACAACATGTTAGATAATTTATGTGACATAACTGTGACGGTAAACTGGTCGATTCTCAAAGCTGCAAACGTTTGAGCTGGAGTCACTTATACTGATTGTCACTTAGCATTTTCTCAGGAACAATACAACCTTACAAGATCAGTTAAACTACAGTGTTGCAAAAAGCTTCTATTAATGATGGTTTTTCAGGTACAAGGGTAGTTTATTTTGTAGTTCAGGTGGGAACAGTGAGTGTCAATCAGGTTACCGGTAGTTCAGTGTTTAAGGCTTAAAGAACAAACACCTGAAGAATGATTGTTGAATTGGAGCAACTCACTGATGATTCACTGATGATCAACTTAGGCCTTTGTTTTTTCTTCATCTTGGTTTTTATATATATGTATTTATAGTTTCAAAACC